TATAGTATTTCATAGTTAGGACTATAGTCTTTCATAGTCAGGACTATAGTCTTTCATAGGCTCCGAGCCTAAAGAGCTCAGCTCCGAGCCTAAAGAGCTCATCTCCGAGCCTAAGGAGCTCGGCTCCAAGCCTAAAGACCTCGGCTCCGAGCCTAAGGAGCTGGCTCCGAGCCTAAAGAGCTCGGCTCCGACCTAAGGAGCTGGCTCGGAGCCTTTAAGACTGAATTCTTGTGTAAATCTCTGGCTGCAAAGCGCTCTTGTCCTGTTTAAACTGCTTTCTCTCTTCCAATATAAGCCTCCTTATTGTTGTGTTTTCAACCCGCACAGATATCCCGCAACGCCCGCGCAATGAATATCCTAATTTACCCGTATTTATCCACACAGTAGAAAATGCAAATCTCTGACAAAAGTTAATCATTTAATTAGTTTCACCCTAACAACACATAGCAACCGGTGTGCTTTAATATAACTTAAAGTTATTAACCTTGTCCGAGTTTTAGTACTTTAAAAACCTTGCACTGAAATATACAAATCGCTTGACAATTATATATTATGTCCTTTAACTTCCATGTGTTTAATAATTTAAGATAGCAATACATGAATTTTAAAACTGAAATCTTGTGCTAACTTTTGCCTGCAAAGCCCTCTTTTCCGCCCGCGCAAACCGCCCGCCTGATTAGTGTACAAATATGTGGTACGTTAATATATGCATGCACCCAAGCGTCGCTAATGACATAACAACGTATATTACAACTACATATTTTTATCGCAAAATATATTACAACTGTTCCAATTCTAACTTATATTCTTGATAAGCTTACTTATGATTTGACTCGGTCATCTTAGGTAGAAGATTTGCTAAGTAACGTTGAACAACATGCAAATATTGACCTTAACAACGATGTTGGCAATCCGGGATTAGCAACTGTTTAGTTTAAAATGTGTCTAAAATATGTTTAAAATATGATTTTTGTGACGAATAGATTCCTTATTTGCCCTCGTTCGTTTTCGTTCATCATGAGGCAGTCATGTTGTCTTTGACTAGGATGACCGACTTGACAACCATTACAGGATTCCACACAAAGTCTTTCAATGGTTGCAAAGCGCTCCTGTCTTGTCTAAATCGCTTTCTCTCTTCCCGCACGGATAACCAAAGACGCCCGCGCAATGAATATCCTAATCTAGCCGTATTTATCCACAGAGTAGAAAAATGCAAATCTCTGATAAAAGTTAATCCTTTAATTAGTGTCACCCTAACAACACATAGCAACCGGTGTGCTTTAGTATAGCTCAAATTTATTAACCTTATCCGAGTTTTAGTACTTTAAAAAACTGGCAATAAAATATAGAAATCGCTTGACAATTATATCTCATAACCTCTAATTTCCATTTGTTTATATAACTCTAAACAGCAACATATTCTCTCGTATATAGACCTCATATGGCAGACCGGGATTTAAATATTAGTTTAATTGTAGATACATAATAACTCTTACCGCATGCTATTTCTCAGTGTTTTGACGCTTGATAATATTTATATATTACTTAACAACAAAACATATAGCTGTATACCCCGAATATATAAGTTTTAGATACATAACACTAATGCTATTTCGTATAGCATCAGATTTTTTTACTCCTCTAGGAGCTAAATTAAAGGAATCACTTGACAATAACAGCAAAACGCTAGAGCTGTATTTATAAAACTCCAGACAACAACATATTTTCTTGTATATAGCTACCTGTTACGTTTGGCCCAGGCCTGCCCGCGTTTATTGGTCGCGCTACCTATCACAGTTGGCCCAGACTTGCCCGCGTTAATTGGTCGCGCTACCTGTCACAGTTGGCCCAGACTTGCCCGCGTTAATTGGTCGCGCTACCTGTCACAGTTGGCCCAGGGTTAGGGTTAGGGCCAGCAAAGTTGCGTCATAGATTTTGCATGCTAATTAACTTCGGAGCAGCGTGACGTCATTGGCGGCATCCCTTTGAACTCCATATGGGGGGGTATCACTACTACCATCAAACCGCAATAAAATGCACTGCTGTCAGACAATTTTACTCAACATCTAGGTGAAAGTCTTGTGGTTTAATTAATGGGTTAACTAATGACAATCTGCCAATATGTATTGTTTACTCCTTTAAACTACAATGCACCCTACTTTATTATTTTAAATACTATGTCTAACACCATATGATCTTACTCGTCAAGTGGAAAGTGTTGCACTTTAATTTTGTTTGACAGTATTCACAAACAGAATACTGTGAGCATGTTGCCCCCCCCCCCCACCACCACCACCATAATCCATATATCGATATTTTGCCATTACCTGTTTGGATTTGGAGCTTGTTTAACAAAAGTAAAGCCTAGTAGCAGGACTCGATTGTTCACAATTTTTTCTCCAAATAAAGTTGGCAGTTTCCATTTGGTCAGATCTAGATATTTGGGTTGCTGTCGAACTTGGGGTTGCTGGGTTGCCATGTTATGGTGGACATTTGGGATTCAAACTTGCTTGCAAGAAATTTTGCAGCCTTTGTCTTCTCTTTGAGTATAATTCTCGTTGAGCTGTAGTTGAATCTCTTAGTTGGCACAAAGACAGACTTAAAAGAATGCAGTTCATGCTTGCATGCATTTAGCCTGATCGCAGGCCGTTGTCAGGCAGAGGCTGGGAGGAACGGCCTGCGACCTTTATTAGTAAGAAGTCGATTTATGCGTACGGAGCGTATGCAAAATTCCCATTGGTTAGAAGTGCCCCATGAGTTAATATCGTGTAAATATTTAACTCATACGACATTTCGCAATGTAACTTTAGTTAACCTGTGAGCAGGCTAGCATGCATCAATCTCTTTTGATTTGAGTGCAATATCTGGTCAGCTGAATCTGTTTCTTTTGTTCTTGCTCTTAGGACCGAGTGGAAATTTTCGACATGATATTCATGGAATGCCGCAATATACCGTCACACGGTTTCAAACATGGAGTGCATATTTTCTTGTCAGTGTTGAAACAGGGTTAGGGCGGGGGGGGGGGCATGCTCATGGTATCTGTTTGTGAATGCTGTAAAAAAAATTAAAGTGCAACACTCTCCCTTTGACGAGTAAGATCATCTGGTATTAGACATAGTAAAATAATAAAGTAGGGTTCATAAATTGTTTGGTTAATCCATTAAACCACTGTAAAACCACAAGACTTTCACCTAGATGTTCAGTAAAATTGTCTGACAGCAGTGCATTTTATTGTCATGGTTTAATGGTTAAACTCAAACATACAAAATTAATGTCCCTTACTTATCCTTCTTTTTTAACCATTTTCCACATAATTTAAAGAAAAAATTAACTGAAATAACATAAAAATATAGTACTTGTTAAAAAATGAAAGAATGTTTGAAAATGTACCCAAATTATTCTAATTATATTGTTCTAATTTAGATTTTTAGAACACACCATGCAAAGTGCATGTAAAACTGAAGGATTTATACTATAGAAAATTTCATTAATTCTATACAAAATTAAAGAAAAGGGAACTATAAACAAACAGTTAAAATTCTTGAAACAAAGATCTAAAAAACAAAAAAAGCAATTCGGACAGACAGTATATCTAAATAGGTTGCAAGTAACTTACTATATTTACGTCATAGAAAATACGACTTACCTGAATGCGAGAAAGAAAGCCCCCTGTGGAAAGTATTTCGTAGTTGTGGTCATTCTTTCCACATTGAATGTGTTTTGCCCGAAATAAGTGTTTGCTAGATTTGTCAGTCGACATTGCTGACAAACCTCGAGGTCCTTGCATGGCAAGGTAGCGAACGAGGCTGTTTTCAACCACGATCTGAGAACGACTTTACAGGAGAACGAAGACGAGGCAGAAGACACAGAAAGACAAATTAAAGACAAAGACAAGACAAGAAAATTATTTAAGACAAACAAGCACATACTGTATTTATGGACGAAATCAGTCAAACAGCTCGAGGAACAGGCGCGTGTATCGAGAGTGAACAAGAAACCGGATATGACATTCCACTTTTATTATCACCGCCCCTGATCATCGCCCAATATAACTTTTTGACGCATTTCTGACAACACAATCAGAGGTACAGTACAGTCAATTATACCAGAATATGCATGCACTATAAAACGGAAGAAAAACTACAAAATCTTCCCAATAAAAACAGCGTTATTTCTCAAAGATCGATCGGTTTTGACGATATGATATGCGGCTACAGAGCGCAATCACGGCGGTAATTCAAACATCGATATTTCGCGTTCTGTGTCGAAATTTAAAAAGTCCCACGACAAAATTCAAGATATATGTATTTTCTATTAGAATCTTTCGGTTTCGGGTAAAAAAAGTTTATATTGTAGCTCACGGAAGCCTTAGATTACGATAATATTTGCTCGCTCTTTTTGTTTACGTTTATAAATTTTAAGCATTCTGATTGGTCAAGAGCGAAAATGTAAACAAACGCGCTGATTGGCTTAAAACAAAATCTGCCCTTGTTCACTTTTATATAATATAGGATGAAATGAGTAAATGATTCCAAACCACACAAGCAGAAACTTTTGCCTGCCACAGCTTGCTTTCGAGACTGCGACCTTCAAAATGCTAGCCCGATACTGACCAACATAGCTATATACGGTCAGGTCTGATTGCAACCTTAATTGTGGTCCGATTGAGGACTGGAAATTTATATGCTGTATGTCATAAACATAATACTTTATAGGTATCAATTCAGCATTAAACAATACTGTCTAGTTCTGCGAGACGCAGTGTTGTGTGATGTTGTGATCACTCGGCCGCGGCAGGTAGAATTATCACGACCAACATAGGCGATTATAAAAATAGGCAACGGTCCAGCTTCTTCTGCCTACCTGTAACCCTTTTTTGAATATCCCAACTACCAAGTCAGACTGTCGTTCTCTTGTTTCAAACCAGTGTAAAAGTCAGGTCATTCAAGTAGCTAAAAGGATGAGCAGATAATTAGTAGACAGTATACACATGCAGATACCGCTGTTGCATAAATGCTATCTGATACAGCTTTTATAACTGTTGTATTTTAATTAAATGTGGCTATTATATGGTCTAGCACTAATCAAGCTATTTGAACACTAGCCCTAAGAACATTAAAATAATTTTGAATTATATATTTTCAAATACAATGTGATAATGTGTGTATAAAATGTAAATTATAATTTCTATATATGGCTTGTGTTTTCTTAAGAATGATTACTGTATTCATGAACGGCCATGAACTCAAAAAGTCTCATTTGTTGTTCATGGATATTCATAACCAGTTCATGGACAATTTGAGTAACTTTCATGAATGTTCATGGTCAAACATTGATGAACGTTCGGGTTGTGCATGATCATTTCACCGGGGATGTGCTTTATCCCCAAAGCAACTTTAAAATCTTGTCTTGGAAATATAAAAATGTTTCATAAAAGTGCTCTCAAAACTCTTATGCCATTTCAGAGATCACAATTTATTGTTGTCGTGGTTGTATAAATAGTAATTATCACCCTTGTTGTAGTTGCTTATACCTATGTTTATGTAAATAAGGAAAAAACGGTCTGTCGGATATTATCGTATATTGGTTTTTCACTTTCTGAATTAGAAATTTGAACGAACTTTTGATTTCGAATAATTTGAAAAATGGAAACACCGTTTATGATAATTTCATAGCTGTTGACAATGTTTTTACAGTCGTGCCAATAGAAGCGTTCCGAAAAATGTTAACAGTTAATTTCCTAACTTGAAGGAACACCTCTGAACAATTCCTTAAAATTTTGATAAGTTCCTTAAAAAGTTCCTAACTTCCTATTTCAGCAATATTATTTGAGCAATATGATTGGTCAATGAAACAGGAAGTTAGGAACTTTTTAAGGAACTTATCAAATTGTTGAGGTTCTCCAACTGTTCCGAGGAACTCCTCGAAGTTAGGAAATGAACTGGTCAACATTTTTCGGAACGCTTCTATTGGCACAACTGTAACACGAAATGTCTACTTCTTTTATGCACTTGCCACTGGGAACCACCACCCCTCCCACCCTGGAAACACAAAGGAACTTGATGGGAATTAGACGGGGAACTTGAAGGGGATTAGACGGGGATTTGCCCCAGGGGATGGGGGAATTTTACATTTTAGCGAATCTTCTCAAGCACGAGGCTGGTAGAGAGGTCTAGTAAGCAATGCAGCGCCGAGGATCTTTTACTAAACCTCTCGAGGATTGAGAGACATTTCATCACTAATCGACCGTGATGCCATGCTATCACATGGTAATATCATAGCTACTGAGACAATGAAACGGTTTCATTCGAAAGGCGTGTTTGCTCTTTGATACTAATGACTATTGGGATATTCGTTAATGAGGTTACGGTTGATTTTTCATTTCGTTTTGAACATCAATATAAGAGATTATCATGCATAAAGATGAGGGACGATTAGTAACTTTTAGCAATGAGGTAAATTGGTCATTTATTACATCTCGCGAGACAAAGGATTTCGAGGTAGCTATGATAGTATAAGTATATACTGAGTTCAAAATGGCGATGTGCTTAGTATGGAGCTCCGTGGTTTTGTTGTTTATTTGTCTTTATTTTGGATTGAAATGCAAAGGAATGATCTGTGCTGGATATATGAAGACCGGTTACAACTTGTGTAATGTTGTATCCTTAGATAGGGAAGCGAATTTCAGCCGAACTAACGCGTCAAAGATTGATCAACCTTATAACAACTTATATATTAATAATATATTCGTTGCGAATACGTCTAAGTGCCGTGGTGATGACTTGCTTGCTTTTTCTGCTTACGAATCGAACAGCAAAGACAAACATTTGACCTGTATATCATCTGGTCGGGCAGTGCCGTTATTTCAAACTGGATTGATCTTCAGCTATCGGAAAAGACGGAAAACTTGGTCGTTTAAACAAACTGTATACTATGCTAATACCACAGCAACCTTTCAAATATTAGGGAGTTTAAGATCCCGACAACGAACAACGGGTACGGAGTACGGTTGAAGGCTTGTTTTCTCATAGCTTTAACAAAGGCAGACAAAATTTACTTATCCCCAGAGCATACTTTTTACCGTAGCGACCTTGGCTACAGCGTAAAAATCACATTCTTGTGTTTTAAAACAGAATCAAGAACATAGCACCGAAACTGACTACGCAACGTTGCAGGTTGGAGAGTATTTTTTATATAGAAATGATGAAAACTAAAAGATGAAAATTGCCGAACACAAAGCCATGTACATAAAACATATTTGGGATAAATTTGTTGTCGTCAAGATCTTAAACTCCCTATTACTTAAAAGTGGGGATATTAAAGTAAATCCTGGCCCCGAAGCTATTACAAATGATACAGCGCCTACGACTACACAGAATCGAAGACAAGCCTCACCTGGATGCACAGAATGTAAGAAATCTGTGGCTATAAATCAGGAGCGCTATATTTGCACAGCATGTTTTGACTTTATCCATGCAAAATGCGCTAATCCATTGGCAGCTAAATTTATGTCTGCTATTACGCCGAAAGAATGGATTTGTCCTAATTGTACAATTAGTGTTCTACCATTTTACAGGGTGTATAAAAAAAAGTAATCGAAATTCAGCCCGCTATTATACGTGAATTACTCGGCGCATGAACAATTGTTTTTTATATTCGGAAAGATCAGGCTTTTAGCTATTGAATGACATGCTTTTCTTGCCAAGTGAAAAAAACATAAGCATGTACGAGGCCGATTAAAAATGTTAGTCAAAATCGCAGATTTTCACCTCTGTGTCTAATTAAAACTAGGGATCCAAGGATAGTGCAATATTTCTGAAAACTTGAAAAGTCATTACGGTAATATCAAATCTTTCAAACATATTGTTCATAGTTTTGCAATTCATTTGTCCAAATGATGCGGTTCGCGAATGCAAAACTGTTGCAAATTAATTTTGTTGTAAATTACCGGTAAGCTTGAAGTAGACGAAATTTTGAACTTTTAGAGGAACTTTTGAACTTATTACAGCCATTTTCGTCCAACCATACCACAAGTCGCAAAAATTTCAATACAAACGACAAATACTAGTTCCACGCTTATTGATCATATTATGACTAATTTACCTAAGAACGTCACATACACAGATGTCTTGCCATGCCCTTTGATAAGTGACCACGACAGACCTTACGTCACTGTCAACGCACATGTCATTCGTTATGTACCAAGATATAAATACCTCAGAAATGAAAAATGCTTTCTTGAATCCACATTTGTTGAAGATTTTTCCAAACTGCCTTTCCAGCTGGTTTATGCTTTTGACAATCCTGATGATCAAATAACCACTCTCAACGGTCTAGCTAATAATTGAATGTCTCGATAGGCATGCACCCCTTCGGCGAACAAAATTGACTAGATCTCCTGCACCTTGGATGAAAGACACCGATATTCAAAGTCTCCAAAAAGAATGCAAGCAGAGTCGCTATGAAGCGCATAAGAGCCCACACAATCTATCCGAAACCAATTGAAGAACGTTATAAAAAAGGCCAAAACTGTATTCGTAGAGAAAGCGCTCTCGTCTAAGAGACCTAAAGACGGGTGGAAAACTATTTATCGTATATTGTACCCCAGTCCTCAACCTTTGCGAATAGATCCGAATCAACTAAATAAACATTTTGCCTCAACAGCTGAGCGTGTCGTAGCCTCGTCGCCACTAGATAGAGATGATTTATATTCGCTTCTGGCCTCATTACCACAAGACTCAAACTCGCCCTTCCAATTCCGCCAAGTTACTCACAGGGAGGTGTTGAACGAGATCAAACATCTAAGATCCGACTGCTCTACTGGCCCGAATAACATCCCTTGTAAATTCATCAAACTCGTCGCGGATCATCTCGCGTCACCAATCACTCATAAATTAATAATTGCATCGCAAAGCAAACATTCCCATTGCTATGGAAAACTGCCCGCATTAGCCCAATACCCAAGGTATACGATCCTCGTGGAAATGATGATTATCGGCCAATTTCAATCTTGTGTGTACTTTCAAAGGTCTACGAGAGATTAGCGTTACGCCAAATGGCAGATTTCCTCGGAAATAACACTATGTTTAATCCCAATAACAGTGCATATCGTCGAGGCCATTCCACCACTACCACCATGTTAGCTATCAGAGATGATATCCTTAGGGCAATGAAAAGAGCGAAGTGACTATTGCACTATTACAGTTCTAGAGGACTTTTCGAAAGCGTTTGACACAGTTGCCTATCAAACCGTGTTATCCAAGCTGCATCGCTTAGGATTTTCGAATACCCAGGGCAGGCAAAAATAATTTTCTTCCTGGGAGCACAACCTGGAGACAAAAATTTCTTGCAGACCAACAGAGTATTTTTGTGCTAAATCTGCATGTGCATAAACATATAGTGTTCTAGCTGACCGTGGTTTTAAATTCAAGGAATAATGTCTGTCAACCATATGTTGTTTCGCCCATAGTGGGACATGGGTGCTAAGGTTTCCTTCAAAATTTCAATACCAAATCTTTATTCAAATTAGGAATTTCCTACAGCTGTTTAACATTTCCTGCTCGCCTATTTTTTCCACCCCTGCGAATACCTCTCTGAAATGGATAATAAGCTATCTGACAGATAGAAAACAGTACGTCCAAGTGGACGATCGTTCTTCCGAGCATGTTAGCGTAACCTTTGGAGTACCGCAGGGATCGATTTTAGGTCCAGTTCTACTCAATTTATACGTCAATGATTTGCATGACGTGTTGCCTCAAGAAATTGCTTGTCATCAGCACGCGGACGACACTACTCTCTACCGTCATTGTAAGCCATCTGATCTACATTCTACAACAATGTGAATCGGAACTGCAATGTGCTCTCAATAACATGTCTTCTTGGTCTCAAGAATGCAACCTAGCACTGAACCCGGGGAAAATAAAGGCGATGCTGTTCTCGACTTTGCAGCGTTCCAAAGTTCACCTGCTTCACGAATATGTCACTGGCCTTCGTATAGGCGAAAACCAACTCGAACGACTTGATAGCGCTCGATTGTTAGGTACCCAATTGCATCATCAATTAACTTGGTAATGGACAATTGAAATAAGTAAAAAAATATCCAGCTGTTACAAAACCTTATCCGTACTAAGAAAACTAAAGCATCTTATCAGAAAGCAGTTATCCGAGTGTCTAGTGCTATCAAAGCTGGATTATAATTATGATATAGTGAGTCATCCGATTCCTGAATATCTCGCGAAACGTCTTCAGCGTGTGCAGTGTGCGGCTGCTGGTTTTGTTGTTGGAAGGTATGCCACTAAATTGGATCTGTTGAAATTGGGATGGCTTCCAATCTAAGAACGTAGAGATTTTCATTTGGCCCAATTAAGCTATGTTTAAGGCCTTGTACTTTGATCAGTGGCCTTCATGCTTGAAACTGGAGTTGTACACTCCTGGCAGAACATTGAGGTCATCCTCAAAAACCAAACTCACTGTGCCCCTTGAAAATGACACTTTTCAAGCCAGTGCTGCAAAAATTTTTAATATTTTATTTTACATTTTTACCCTTAGAAATTAGAAACTGTCGTGTTTTTAATGATTTTAAGCGAACTGCTAAATTAAAAGCACACTATTTTGAAGTGGCAAACGAAAGATTAAATAGGGAATAATTTAATAATTAAGAATTATTTGAATTTGAATTTTAGCATGATGTTAATAACTTATAGAACTTTTCTATTTTATAACAATTGTAGTATAGTATATAGTTTGTTTACAGATGAAGAGCCACTCACGTGGAAATACTGTAATAAAATCATTATTATTATTTATTAAAAATATTATTATTATATTAATTCATTTATTCTGTTTAAAGTTAAAAATTATTCTTAAATGATGCTTGTGATGTTACTCTGAGTGTATATCCACATGCACCGGGCGAGCTTGAAAAATATGCCTGACCTCGGTGGGAATCGAACCTACGACCTTTGGAATACTAGCCCAATGCTCTGCCAACTGAGCTACGCGGTCAGATCGGTTCGAGTATGTGATATTTCGGATAATAATCAGTAATGATTTTTCTGTGTTCAGGTGTAATGTACTCAGGTGAATATGATGCTTGTGATGTTACTCTGAGTGCATATCCACACCAGGCAAGCTTGAAAAATTAGAGGTGAGCCGATCATCGGCCAATCCGATTAATCAGCTTGTTCTTTCACAAAATTTTTAATATTTTATTTTACATTTTTACCCTTAGAAATTAGAAACTGTCGTGTTTTTAATGATTTTAAGCGAACTGCTAAATTAAAGGCACACTATTTTGAAGTGGCAAACAAAAGATTAAATAGGAAATAATTTAATAATTAAGAATTATTAAATTATCAGCCGATTGTCATTGGCCATCGGCCGATTGTCTTCCACCATTTGTATGGTCAGCGGTGTAATAAAAAAAATGAAATTCAAATATTTGGTGTGGAAACAATTATCGAAACTAAAGTGGAAACACTATGTTTATCGATTTCCCACATTTTTTCATAGTTGTTTTCTCACTTTTCTGCCATTTCTGCAAGATTTATTAATTAAATTATCGTGTTCCGTAACTTCCGTTGACCAGTCAGTAGCACGCTGTGAATTTCAGAATCAGTGTTAAAAATGTCACTTCCTGTTTCTGCATGTTTTGAGTCTTTTGACGAGAGGATACATTAGTAAAAAAATATTAAGATGACCATCGGTTTTGCCGATTAATCGGAATCGGTAATCAGCTTTTTTTAGACATCGGCTCACCTCTATGAAAAATATGCCTGACCACGGTGGGAATCAAACCTACAACCTTTGGATAGCCCAATGCTCTGCCAACTGAGCTACCAAGTCAGATCGGTTCGAGTATGTGATATTTCGGAACAGAATCTAGTTCCTTCGATATCAATGTAATCTAATAATCAGTAATGATTTTTCTGTGTTGGTGTAATGTACTCAGGTGAATATGATGCTTGTGATATTACTCTGAGTGTATATCCACATATTGGACGTCACTAAAACAACTGAAGAAAAACGTTCTCTTGATTCTTCCCAGAGCCGGCGGCGGGAAGCACCGTGCGAGGGTACTAATTCCCCCCGGCTATTTACACCCGGGGAAACGAAAGCATTAGGGAAGTCTAAAGTTCATCAAATATCGCGGGCGTGGGTCACTGTGCGTGGGTGGTCATCCTCACTGATCTCAAAAATATGGCGGACTGTCATGAATAGCGAACACCGATTGGTCAAATTTAAAATTTGTTGTTGTATGACGAATGACGACTTTAACTGACAGATACTTCATGAAAATACTTTGCTTTTTGCGCTACAGTTTTTTGTACATTTGCAAAAACATTTCGCAGCTTTAAAAGCAATTAGTTTTATTAAAACTTTTATCAAACAATTACGCTATCCAATACCAATTGAAAAGATATGGAGCCAAATGAAGAGCGGCAAGGAAACGACAAGAAAGCCGAGCGTCTAGCGAAAAGAAGGGAGCGAAGACGACAACGTTTGCTCGAGGAGACTGCTGAGGAAAGAGAAGCTCGCCTGGGAAAGCGTAGAGAAGCATGGAAAAGACTGCTGAAGCGAAAGGTAAGCAAAAGCTTGTCTTCACAACGCTTTGTACCAATGATACTGTAGCTATAAAAGTTGAAGTATGAAGTTCGACCCTCTATATTCGACTATTTCTTCACAATTTTCCAAAAAAGAGTTTGTCATGACACGCTCAAGTCAGTATAAACCAGACTGTATTTTATTTATATCAGTAATTATCACAGCCACAGGCAATTTTATGCTGTCAAATACCGTCGGTTGCAACTAAGGGTGAACAGTTGCAGATAAAACATTCTCTATTCTCATTAAAAAGCCTGTAAAGGTTTCCAGTAGGTCTCTAGTCCAACACGTTCAGACCACACAAAGTTTTGTTACTTATTATTGTACACATGGGAAACAACAATTAAGTGTTGTTGTTCTTGACAAACATTGAAGATTCTAATCACGCGAATGTTTTTATGAGCGACTGTTCATCGTTAGTTGCAAGCGACAGTACAACATACTATGAACATTTTTCCGACTGCGACCGAATGTGCAACGATATATCAGTCAAAGTTGTTATCAATTCCTAAAATTTGTTTATAGTAAAACGGCCTACTCAGCACTCAGTTCCAGGAAAGGAACTGATTCTAAAATATCTAAATTTAAAAGCATTGGCTAACAAAATAAATTATGTGAAGACAAGGTATAAACTTTCATAGTTGCTATTTGTTATAAAATCGTAAAAATCCTATAAATAAACCGATTCAACAATAATTTTGCCTCGAATTTGCATATTCTATGCTGCATGTCAGAGGCTGCATGTTTATATTTTATTTTTATAGCATACAAATAAAATTGTAATAGTATGAAATAAAATACATTTCTGTTTATTGACCAGTACTTATTTAATGTCTTCTTCATCCAGTGGTCAGAGTAAATTTCTACTTCTTGCAAGTAAATATTTGACAAGCAGTCTGGAATAAGCACAGGAATAAGCACAATAAGCCATTTTATAGTAGCAATATGAAAAGTTTTTTTCTTTTTCCATGACTTTTAATGCATCAGCCAAATCCAAGTGTGCCCATCCCCCTCGCCCAGCCATTTTCCTGTAAAGCACATCTCGGGGGTTGGGCATTTCCACTCGAACCTTATGCACTTATCAACGGCTTCCCTAGGGGTCGACCCCTGGGACACCCTAGGGGTCGACCCCTGGGACACCCCAGGGGGAACCCCCGGGAACAGGAGGGGATTCGTTGTCTTTTGTAAAAAATAGTGTCCCTCGGGGAAGGGGAATTGTTTGGGTTTGGTAACAGGCACTGTTAACCCCCGGGATAAACCCACGGTATTTTGTTTCACATATGGTCAGCGGTATCTAACATGTATGTCCAATATAGATATAACCATCGGTTGTCAGGTGGTGAAGTATATTCATATTATATTTATCATTTATAGACCTGGAGCGAGGGGGATTCGGCGAAATATTATCCGAAGTGATGATATTTCCCGAGGGGCTTTGCCCCGAGGGAAATATCATCACTGAGGGTAATATTTCGCCGAATTCCCCGAGCGAAGGGTCTATAAATGATATATTATACCGAAAATTAAAAGCCCCAAGTTGAGAAATAAAAACTTGACAGATACCTTCGTGAATACGATGTTTTATTTTCGGATTAACGCAAGTCGGGTTCGTCGCTTTTCTTTCGAATCACATATCGTTTGGAATATTAATGACAACATTTTTCAAAATTTACTTCAAAATTTTGAAAAAGCCCCAGGTTTTACATCAGATTATTCATCACTCATCAATACTATTTATATTTTGTCGGCCATGTTGTTGTCATGCGTGTTGTCTCGCGTGGTCTACGCGAATAATGTTCCACCCCATGTTCCCCGGGGAACATGGGGTGGAACATTGTCAAAAAGAACGCAGGCTCGCTAATTGATGACGTAAGGCGTGATATCGCGATTAATTTCATGCTCACGTGGCACAAACTAAGCTTCCTGATTGGACAGTTTGAATTTGAGGTATAATATTGTTATTTATTACCTTGAACATATCTGTCAAATGTGTTTAAATATATTCTGTCAAATACTTTGAATTACGTTTCCCACATATGAGAACCGTAATGTGAGATATATTATGTTTTTATATACAGTATGACATAGTTGGCCACATTATATGTAAGTAATAATAAAATATAGCAACGTAGTATAAGCATCCTACACCGAATGACACCCTTCGACCATCACACACCATCTGACAACTATCTGACAACCATCTGACACACTTCGACCATCATACACAATCTTCATCTGACAACCCTTCCCTGTATAATCACCCTACATCATCATAAACCATCTGACAACCATCTGACACACTTTGACCATCATACACCATCATACACCATCTGACAACCCTTCCCTGTACAACCACCTTACACCATCATACACCATCTTCACCATCAGACATTAGATATCGATGTCTGTATTGGACATTACTCGTATCTAAGAATCATTGAGTTCGAATAGTATAAACTTCATCTTACCCTAATTATTTATAATTCAGCGCAAGCGCAAATAAATTCTTTCAAGCGTGCATGCATGCTTTACATGCTTTAACCTGACATTTTTGGACGGTTATTTTAAAATTGTTTACTTTTCTGCTGTATTTTGTATCCAGTTCACCAGTTATATAATATTTTGTTTTTGTTAGGGATGGTATGTTTGCTTTTTTGCCCGGGGGTAGGAGGCTGTAACATGATTTTTGTCATTAAACTTTCCCTGTACCCAGGGACTTTCAACCCTCGAAATTCAACTATTTTTGCCGCGGCAAATAATTGCCGAAGTCTTTCGATAATTTTCGAGTTTGCCTCGGCAATTTCTTTTGCCGAGGCACGCGATGAAATCACCTTAAATTCCTTCGGCAATTACTTCGGCACTCTTCGGCATTCACGTCGGCAGTTGTAATTATGAAGTAAAGTAATTATTATACGATTATTATTGAAACAATTATTATAACGATCGTAGATTCTGGCGTTTGACAATTTGTTAGTTATATTATTTTACAAATTCCTGATTTAAAATGTTTTTAAAAAGTTATAGTGGTAATTAATAACAAATTGTATGAAAGAATAAACTTGACGGTAATCATGTGACAGTCTAAAAGATAAAACAAATCTCGACGTGCCGTCTTTAAACCATCAAGATTGCATGTTCTTTATTGCAACCGAAGCCGACTCTGAAAATCTCAAATTTAAATATTTTGTAAAGTAGCTATGAATGAAATCTTCTGTTGTTCACCCGACGCCAATGACAACAATTCGAACAATTAAAGAAGTGATACAAAAAACGAACACTGTAGTTTGTATTTCAAGGTACAACAGGTGGAATTGCCTCGGCATTTTTTTGCCGAGGCAAACTATGAAAAATCGTAACTTGCCTCGGCATTTGCGTCGGCAATTGCCGAGTGCCGAGGCGAATTTCGAGGTTTGGGCTTTGTTCATGTTTTGTTCCATCCTCTTAACAAAAGCCCCTGGGTGGTTCGGGGGTCGACCTCCGGGGAAGCCGATGATAAGTGCATTAGCCCCGGGGGGCTTTTGAAATTAAGGATTTGGAGGTTTTGCCATCACTAATAACTTGATAATAATATAAAACAAAACACTTCTATCTGCAACTTTTACAATCACTGATAACTTGATAATAATTTAAACCAGTCAAGTTGTAGTTTCAATATCTGAGAATAATACATGGGTGCGCGGAAATACCGGATTTATTTCGAGTGTTGAACATGATATCTCACAAGTGAGCGCAGCGAACGAGTGAGATGTCATGTTCAACACGAAGAAATAAATCTGGTATTTCCAAGCACCCATGTATTTTTCTGTTTATTATATAAAGGACAGTCTTTGAAAAGCGATAATTTTTACAGAAAAGTGATAATTGAAAAGCGATAATTTTCACATGTGAGATTATCATGAATAATTTCACATGTGAGATTATCATTTTTATCAGTGCTCGAAATCTCTATAAAACACTATACATTATAATAAAAATTCATAAATTTGAACCACGCTAGAGCATGACAACAGCAAAATGCTTTAGAGTATGATGCACAATATTTTGGGAGGTGAAATACATGAACAATAAATCAGAGAGTGTTTACTTGAAACTCACTGGGGGGGGGGCAACACCCCTGATAATTGTTCATGAGGAATTTCAGGTAGATTTCCAGTGCACTTTTAGGTAAATTTAAGTAGATTTGCAGAAGATTTTCAGGGGAATTCAGGTAATTCTCAGGACATGAGAAAGTGAATTTGGAAAACAACTGTATTTTCGGAAAAACTATTATATGTCCTGAAAATTTTTTGTACATCTGGAAACATTTTGGTAACCCCCCCCCCCCTCTATCTAACCTCACACACACCCTGAGACGAAGTGTTCGCAACGGCACTGAGTATACGTCTTTTGAAAAAAGGCGAGGGGTTATTGCATGCATGTATTTCTAGTATGCATTGTAATACAAGGTTTTTACAATTAATTGAACTGCTTGAATGGTTGATATATTAGTGCATAACAGAATGGCAGTTAGAATGTTATACTGTTTCTATTACTTGAATAGTTGAAGATATCCAGGATTCAAGGAAAGATGATGAATGATGACAATGCTTCAGAAATTATGTCTGTGTTAGAAAAAGCTGTTGTTGGCCAAGAAACTCCAGATTGTGATACACAAGATTCTGAAGCCAGTGGATCAAAGCCATCAAAATGCTAAATGCAATACAGTATTATAGGATCAAGAAGAAGCAAAGATTGTCAAAACAAGAAGAATTTCAATGAAACACCATGTTACAGTTGATGCTGAGCTAAGAAAACAAGAGTTAAAGGTGTGTACTAATTGACTGGCATTACTGGCCAATGCCATTTCAAGCAGACAGCACCAATTGTGCAACACGTCTCAGTAATTCTTTGAAGATGAAAACAGCAGCGAAACATATTATAAATTATAAAAGAACAGTTTACTAAACATATGACCACATGTACATAATGTTGGTACCATTAATGCATTGATGAACCAAAAAGCAGCCTTTCATGGCCAGAAATATGCAACATTTGAGTATGCATGCACCATGTGTTGTGTCAGAGGGAATTACCTAGGGCTTGCGCACCAATACTAAAAATACTTGTACGTAAATTTATTAAATATTATATTTTTGTTTTTTCATATTAATTTGCATATATATTTTTTTCATAATTTCATTTGACTATTTTTACTTGTATTATCCTTGACCAGCTATAGTATATATTCCTTTAATATGGAATACAGTTGCCTTTATTTACAATACTAGGAGTTACTACCGCAAGGAAAGTGCTGCCTCTGGGATCAAAAGTGCCCCCAAGGGATCAAAGGTAGCATGCACAATTTGCTGAATATGGGGCTGTTTATATGATCCTACTTTGTCAGGATGAGATGTGCAGCACGATTATTTCGATGTATTGAAATAAGTTACAGTGCACAATTAAGAAAAAACTTTATTTTCTAGAAATAGATTAAACAAAACTGTAAACAAAAGGTTGTTCAAGTAGCAATAATAATAATCTTCTTGAACTTTAAGATTTTCTCTAATATACAACATTTGAGTTCTGTTAACTCATTAAGGTAGCAATATCCTTCTTAATTTATTTTTAAACCAGTCAATTTTAACAACTAATCATAATATATACCATTTAAAAAAACATATGCCAAAGTGCAGTTTCAAATTTTGTTTGCATAAATTATGCTAATTATGCTATTTAATGGCCGCCAATATGTCAAAACTAGGATATACGTCAAACAAAAATACTCAGGCATTATTTAAGGTAGGGTTCTGAAAATTTCAGAGTTGGTTACTGGCATGCTTAGGCAAATTCTGATGATAAGACTTTTAAAGTTTATTGCTCAGCTATTTTCCAGCATCTGTTTTTGTATTTTTTTGTAATGTCTGCAACATTAGCAATGTTAATAATTAAACAAGTTTTTATTAGATATCAAATTCTTGCCACCATTCCCTAGATATTCATGCAAAGAACCTGTGGTGAAAATTTCATTGAAACGAACTTAAAATAAAGCATTTCCAGTCAGTGTTTCTGCCATTGAGAAAATGCATGCCCAGGCTGCCACAATTATTTACAGACTTCATTGGACTACTGAAGCTGGTGAAGCTTTACTCAAAGCAGGATGGAAGTCCCTAGGATGGGCACTATGAACATAGGCTGGTTGGCCTATCTCATGTTACACTGGCAGTGTACCACAGAGAATTTCAAGCTTATTCACTAAGCATATCATAAAAGCGTATAACCTTAAGAGGTCAGAACAGGTTAAGTTTACCATTATGCGTGACAGAAATAATGACGTCCATTGTGTACAGAGGATCAGTTCTGTCGAACAAGCTTCCAAACTCTTGTCAGGAATGTTCATATACATCACTGATGACATCCCTTAAAGACAGTGACTTTTTAGACACAATTACTAACTTTAATGTTTATTAGAATTGTAACATGTATTGTAATTATAGTTGCACGACCACATCAGCACTTGTGCTGCGATTAGACAAAACGTGTTGAAATAAAAGCTTTTGTATTGTTGTATTGTATTGTAATACAACTCTAACTGAACTAATGAGCTCCACTCTCATACACATTTCCATCTTTTTGGTCCTGAAATCTCCTTCTTGACTGACCGCAGATGCTTCCTTCGTTTCTTTGCCCCATCCGAAGATTTCTTGTCAGACCAGTAGATCTGCTTCACATTGGCCACAGCAACAAGTAAACCTGCCTGGAGTAATGCCAAGTTTGTCAAAATGTTTCATAATACTGACATTCCCATCATTAAATTGAGCCACAGCACAATATGCAGCATCTTTAATGGTTTGGTTGCCAACAAACACTTCCTTACTGCAGTGATCCCAGATTAGCTTGTTCAAACATTCATTGTTATTTTGGGTCTTTCCGTGGAGGCATTTTAAAAGGAGGTTCTTTCAGTTCTCTTGGGAGGAGTTAAAAAGGATAGTCTTAGATTTACAATTCTCGCAGTAGGAAACAAAATTGTGGGCAAATCCTTGACTGCCATCCAAATTTATGCCACACTGTACAGGCCCTTACCAAACTGACATATATGTAAAATGTCTGCAAGTATCTGTCACATATCTGTTGCAGTACTGCAGCATAACTGCAACAAGATCTACAATATCTGCAAAATATCTGCATAAAAGTTGCAGATATGTTGATTATCTGTCAACATATCTGCAAAATACCTACATAAAAGATGCAGATATTTGCAGATATGTAAATTGTCTGTCAAAATATCTGCAAAATATCTGCATAAAAATTGCAGATATATGTAGATATGTCAATTGTCTGTCAATATACAGTAGCTCAACTACACAGCAAAAAATAATTTCTTATTGAGAAAACAATTCTTACTTCAAGAAAATATTTGTTGAAGAACATTTTTTGAAATAAGAAAAATTCTTTTACATATCTTAAATTACATTTGTTTTCTTGAAATATGAATGTTTTCTTACAATTTCATCATCTTCATATCAAATCATTCTCTTAACAAAATTTTTAAAACAAGAAATCAAATTCTTAACATAAGAAATAATGGTTAATAATAAATTATTTCTTACTTATTTTCTCGAAGAACGAAAATAAATTTGTTAAAATTTAAAGGGGAAGTCAAGTCCGTAATGTAAACAAACGGTTTGTTTACATTTTGAACTGCTGTATTTTTTAAACTATGATGTACTGTCGGAATATCTAACACTATTTTGGTTCGCTATGTTTCTAAATGAATATGAAATAAAGTTTATGTTCAGAAAAATTCGAAACATTTGAAATTTGGGCAATTTTCACATTAGAGGTCCTCACATTGTTATGCGCAGAACCGATGCGCAGAACGGACTTGACTTCCCCTTTAAATATAACATCTTTTGCATTTTTTTTCCAAAATGATATATTTTTCCTCAATATTCTTTTAAAAAAAAGATGTCAAATGCAATCCTGGATTTAGATTCAATATGGGTTAGTATATTCACTTTAACTGTAATTAGCCTTTTCTCAAAAGAGATCACAGTGCATATTCTGGGGTGATTTGGAGGGACAAAATATATGGAGACAGGCATCAAATATGTGAAAGAGTAGAAGTATCAAATATCAACTTTTTACATGACCAAAAATGAAATATATCCTTTTTACATTAAATTTTAATTTAAACGTGTGCTGCCATATTGTCCCTTCAACAAAGGATTTGTGCGACTAGACCCAGGACTTTGGGAATAACTAATTAAATATACAAATTCTCTTCTATCATATTTATCGTTGTTAATTAATTTGTTATTAAAGTAAATTTGGGACAAAAATATTGTTTTATTTTGTATTAAAATGCTACATTTGCCCCTTTAGGAAAGGAGACCTTGCCCCACCCCATTTCCATCATCCCTGATACCATATAACTTCTAAAATTAATTTCTAAAGTTGAATTAAAGTAGATTATCAATAAATTAATTAACAGTCAGTAACTGATTGAAAACATTTGTAAATATTCCTTATATTCGTAGAGAAACTATATTTAATACATGACAACTGAAGCAACTGGCTGCAATAGTTCGCGCATTGCTTGGAGGCCTGGTGCCCAGTTTAAGTGTCGGATCGCAAAGTATCATGGGATAGCGTCGTTTCGAATTTTTGTGCTAAAAATTTGAAAGCACATTTACATGTCTTACATGGTGAAGAAATTTATCGAAATTTCAAACCCAAACGATGGAAAAGGCATGGAAAAGTTCGTAAAATGTTATTCAGATCTCACAGGTAAGAATAAGTTATATTTTGACTTGTTATTTAAGCACTTTAATTGCGAAAGAATGTAGTGAAAATATGATTGTTACTTGAGCCATGAAATTCTGTTAAATATAATTTTGAATTTGCCGCGTTCAATTTACATAAAAAACATACAAATTGTTGGTTTCTGGCAAGGAAAGAAAGAATAAAATTTCAATTCGAATCTATTATAGTAAATTCTGTACTAAATTGTGCACTAATAATATCAACAATTTAGCAATAATTGTCTTTGGCACATAATAATTTGGCACATAATAATTTGGCACTTTTGTAGACCTTTGTTAAGGGTGTATAAGGCCTGTTTCATACGCCGTACTTCACATGTGCCAAATTCAATTGAATTAAGTACGGCTTTGGTAGAATTAAGTACGGCAGTTGATTCATACGGCGTATTTAATTACGCCAAACTTAATTTGTTTTGGTTGTGATCAAAAAGGAGACTGGGTATTAGTTTTTATTTTTTCCCGCGAATTTCAATTTCAATATGGCGCGTCATTGACAAGCGACAAATTTAATGAAATTGATATTATTAAAAGCAAGACGGCGAAGACAAATGTTAAGAAGCATATCACTACTCATAATTGCAATGAGAAGAAAACGCTTGCAAATCTTGATGAGTATTTTGAGCATGATGCAGATCTTCGTACAAAGGAAAGAAGTTCATCGTTCGTGCAGAAGGCTTGAAAGAAACGACGGTTGGTGGCAGTTGGTTTGGAACACTTATTCTGCTGAACGGTTTAAGCGAACATTTCGGGTGTCAAAAGATACATTCATATTTATACTAAATAGTATTCGCCACGAGTTGGTGCGAAAGACAGTTAATGAATGTCCAATATCACCAGAATGTCATCTCGGTATTTGCTTGTATCGCTTGGCAAGAGGCGATTATTATTACACTTTATCAGAAATGACTGGTCTGGGTGTATCAACGATTCATGGGATAGTTTCAGAAGTATGCCAATCTATTGTTGAAAACCTGTGGAATGAGTTTATTGCCAATTTAACGCCAGTTGTTGAGGAAGACTTTCAAAAGTTGATGGATAGTATGAACAGTATGTGGAAATTTCCATTCTGCTGGGGTGCATTAGATGGATGTCATATACCAATCAAATGTCCACCAGGTGGTGCCGAGGCTTCTAAAGAGTATCACAACTTTAAGAACTTTTACTCAGTGGTCCTTATGGCTATGGTTGACTCAAAGTACAGGTTCTTATGGGGAAGCTGTGGGTTTCCGGGGAATTCACATGACTCTATTATCTTTCAAGCTACAGATATGTGGGATAAAATTCAAAATCAGGGGGCACTTCCAGATATTGGGAGGAAGGTAGCAGGGGTAATTATTCCTCCACTAATTGTAGCCGATTCAGCCTTTTGCTTACAACCATGGTTATTGAAACCATACACAGAAGCCGTTTTAAGTGACAAAATGAAATATTTTAACTATAGACTGAGCAGGGCGAGAGTGGTCACGGAAGGGGCATTTGGACAGCTTAAAGGCAGGTGGAGGATCATGTTGAGGAAGAATGAGAGCACTCCAGAAGAAGTTACCATGACAACACTAACATGCTTGGTATTACATAATATTTGCATTGCAAAAGGAGATGCAATTCCTGCTACACTGGATCTTACTTTTGACCCCACTACCAATGCAAGGAAATCCAGTGAAGAAATTCGAGATGAACTGTGCATGACGAAGTGTAGGAGAATAAGAAATTCCAATGAACAAGCAAAGAAAGTAAGAAATGCCCTTGCTGACAAGCTGTGGGAAGAAAAAGAATTTTAAGGATTGAATTCTTAAACTGATCAACATTACCTAGGCAAATATATATTATTTGTATATAGCACGTTAATTTTGTTTTTATTTACCAGACAGAAAGGTGACAAGTATCATTTGCTAAAAATATAAACTTGAACTACTGGAAGATAAACCTTGATAGACTATCAGATTGCATTGCAAATGCTTTATATTTAAAATAAAGTTACTGATGACAGTCAGTCCTGAACAATGTTGAATATATTCTTGCCTTTATAATTTTCAAATAATATCAGTACTAGATGGAAAAACCTCACTCTTTTTGATAGTCTGATCAAGAGGAATCATACAACTTTCTCTAAAAAACTAAATCCTCAATCAAACAACAAGAGTCTGTGGTTCTATACAATGTATCAATAAATATCAATCTAATATCTATATACCTAATCACGGTCTTTAACCTTAAACATAAAAAAAAACAATAGTACATGAAAAACAGTTTCATCAACATGGTTTAAAACATATGCTTGTAATGCCAAGGGACAGGAGGTAATTATTTCTACAAGCTTTTTGCAACAAAAATTTTAGAAAAGACTGCCATTTTATGTAAAAAAAAAGTACTGAATGCCAAGAAATTTTGAACATAAGACATTTTGGAAATTATGCAAACATTGCCACCTGCAAAATAGCATAGTTAAAAGACAAGCACACGACTCAAACTAAAATAAACACAACAAGTCCATAAGTATTAGATTGTACTAACAAATTCAACTGAAATGAAATTTTAGTTGAAATGAGTTGAAATTTGAATTCAACTGAAAGGCGGTCTGAAGAAACCAGATGGCCATCCACTTTCTTGATTAGGTGATTGTAACGTTTGATTGTTATATTGCCAAACTGGACTGTTTCCGTCATGCATGTATCCAGGATACTGCATGTTATGTGGTTGTTGAGGTTGGTTTGCTGATGAACTCTGGGTGAGCATCTGCATCATTTTTAACTCATGCTCTCGAGCCTTTTCAGATTCATCCTTCAAATACGACAGCACCTCTTTTGTTGGATCATTTTCGATTGCACTCTTAATAAGACTCAATGTTTCATTGACAACATCCTGTTTCTTTTTCTTCCTACCACGTTTATTTATCACCAACTTTTCCTTCTTCTCAGCAGCAGACGAGGTTGATGTTTCATCTTCACCAGAAATCTCAAAACTTTCTTCTGAACAAGATGGTTCAACTGCAAGTTCTGGCCGACAGGCATCACGAGTCTTGACTATGGCAAACAAGTCATTAAACCATTTTCCATAATCCTTCCCTTCAATAAATCTGTCTATTCCACCAGCAGTTTTAATTGTTAGGGCTACATGTTTGCATTCTGAAACAACTTTCTTAAATTTTGTGCGGACTTGGATGTTATCAAATGGTACCTCTTCTCCTCTTGCTGAACCACGTTGCTTCAGTTCTACCAACACTCTTTTATAAATTTCACCATTTCTTTGATTCTTGGTGTTCGTAAAAATCAATTTATTTTTATAGAACTCGCTAGAAATGATTATGTCTACCAAATCATCGAGTAAAGTCTGGCTCCACTGTGCCTTTCTACCTCTTTTCTTCTTTCCCTCATTCTTTTGTGTCGTCTTTATGCAATCATCTTCACTTGATGATGATGAGGAATTGTGAATATCATCAGTCAGATCACTAAAAATAAAGTATTACAAACAACACTTGGTCATAATATAGTTATTATACACAAATGTTATTTATCTGCTGGGGAGCTTGTACTTTAAAAGTATTTGTAACTTCTCAGCACTAATTGGTCTGCTGAAAAATAAGTGTTGTTTCAATAAGTTATTTTGCCTCCCAACACACTATAAAGGCTATTATTACAGAGGAGCAAGTTTCATATGGCAGGTTTTATACAAGACTAGTGCACAAAACATAGGAGGTATAATTATTCACTATGTGTAACTTTTAATGCCCTTTGACAACAAGCGGTCTATAGGTTTGCATAAAGTAAAATGGTGAAAGGGGTCAGGAGCTCTCTCCTCTGCAAAGATTTCCTGGCTTTTTAACAATGCAAATTGCATTGCTTCAATATTATAAGACATAAACAAGGCGATTAGCCGAAGGGAGAAGTAGAGGCACTAGACTGTAACTCAGTTTCGCTTATTACAGTCTAGTGCCTCTATCCCTTGTTTATGTATCATCATATCGAAGCTTCACCTTGTTAAAAAGTTAGGAAAACACTGTGGAGGAGAGAGGGTCAGGAGGCCATCAGCCTATCATGGCACATAGGGGAATGGGAATATAGTTACATTTTAACACTCGTTAATGCACAAATATTTATCACTCACTGTATTTACTGAGACCGAAGGAAACAGTGTGTTTTGTGGACCTAAGACCGCCATTGTTGTCAAATATAATGGCGGTTGAGGGGTACAAAACACACAGCTTTCTCAAAGTCTCGGTAAATAAGTGTTTTGTTATATAGTACTGTATATAAGCGTCAAAGTATGAATAATTCACCGGTTATTGGCGTGAACTTTAAAACCAAAACAAGATAAATGGAACACCACATACGTTTAACCCTTCTAGTATCAAATGTGCCATACTTTATTATTTTACTCTGTCTAATGCCAGATTATTTTACTCGTCAGGGAAAGAGTGCTGCGACTTAATGGGTTAATCAGACTGTCTGCCCATGCACCCTGTTAACCCTTTAAGTGGCAATGCGCAAAGATGTGCCAAACTTTATTATTTTAATCTGTCTAACGCCAGATTCTTTTACTCTGTCTAACACCAGATAATTTTACTTGTCAGGGGGAGAGTGCTGCCACTCAGTGGGTCAAGTTTAATAAAATAAACTTTGGAACTTCACGTTTTGCATGACAACTTGAAATCTTGAATATGAATGTGGCCTCTTACAAGTGAATTGTAGAATCATTGCCAATAATTAATAAAAAATTATATAAGTGTATTTAGTTTCATTTCAGAATCATCCTCAGAGATATGAAAAACTAGTTTCATATTATTCTATATGAAACTAGCGTATTTAGTAGTTATGCACCTATCAATGTTAATTAGTACAAATGCCAATGTCACAATGGGTAATGCACCTATCAATGTTAACCCCCAGAGGGGGGGAGGAGGGGGTTGGGCATATGTGGGGTATTTGATCATCAATTGCATTCCGACACTGGGGATTAGGTGCATAAATAAATGGTGATTGATAGGTGCATAAATAAATGAACCAATAAATGGATATTATACCTGGTATTTGACGTAGAGAAGGAAGTATCACTTGCCCCACTTGCCGCTATTTTGGCGCGAGCATCCGTGACACAAGTTTGTTTTTCCCTTTGTTCATCACTTGACTTTCGTTTTGAAACAAGATTGATTTTTCGCTTGCACGAGTAGCAATAAGATACTTGTTTTCCATAAGTCCATCCATCCGTATCTTCGTCGACTTCAGGAGAACCACAAACGTTACAAATTGGTTTTTTACATTTAATACAAGCATATTTTGTGTCACAAAAACATACAGAGCATGCCTTCACTTTGTCCGCCATTTTTTAACACCGTAGTGTGTTATGGGAAAAATTAACCATTTTAATTATGTTATTATTTATGCATTTAATTCGGCACATGTAAAGTTCGCTGTCTGAATCAGTTGCCGCACCAAAGTCGCATAATGCAGCAAGACATGTCGAATTTAATTTTTTTGCCGAACTTAATTTGATTCATACGCCGTGCTTTTGCCGTATCTAATTCTTGAATTGAATTCGGCACATGTGAAGTACGGCGTATGAAACGGGCCTAACTTAATAATAAAACGATATGAAATAATATATTAAACATACTTGTGCTTTTAACAATATGAAATAATATATTAACCATTTGAATGCTGTTAAAGATATGTTAGCATTTTAATACATGAATAAGTATAGGTAATCACACGGGAAGGAGTGCAATTAATGATTAACACTACGAGTGATATTTGAAAAATGTGCCAAAATTGCACGAGCCGCCGAGGCGAGTGCAATTTGGCACATTTTTCAAATATCACTACAACTGCATTTTGTCAAGAGTTTTTAATTCTTTTGTAAGGAATTTGGTATAAACAAACTTGGGAAATGATTATAAACTCATAAAGGCACATAACTTAAACTAGAACACAAGATTCAAACTCAAATAACATATTTTAGACTAAGGAAATCTTTATAAATTGTATTTCAAACTTACATAGTCACGTTTCGCTGCATCCCGCCAAGATTATTTCTTAAGACTGTTTCCAGGTATTTTCAACAGGCTCTTTTTGCCATACAATGTTTCTTAAACTAACTCTTGTGCCAAAATCCAGTTAAATTCGTCCACATTTGTTAGAAATACTTATCTAAATTTCACCGCCATATTGGATTTTGTTGTTTTGATTTCCCGCTCCCCCCAGCCATCACGAAAATCATTAATTGCACTCCTGGAGAGTGCAGTTAACGAAATAATTGCACTCCTCTTAACCAATCAGATTGCAGTAATTTTGTCATGTATATAATAAGGATTGTAATTGCAGAAGAATTACAGCATTGAATGTGATATATCAGTGTATTGATCCTTAACCCATTAAGCTGCAACTGTGTTGCTTAAGACAATTTTACTCGTCAAGAGGAGAGTCTTGCAAGCTCTTTATTAACGAGCTTCAGTTGTATAAAATGATTTGTTTGTAAATGCTGGAAGATGTATGAGCGCTGAGACAATGCCTCAAATGTTCTCTTTATATATTTTCAGATTAATATTGGAACTGGATTATAGCCCAGTGTGCTCCAAATATTGTTCTCAAGTCTCAACAATCAGATCTGGATTGAGTTGACAAACTGGTGTTGTAAGGTAAGAATTAACAAGAATAAATAGTCAGCTTTTAGTGCTTTCTATGAAAAAATCACAAACTGCGGGCCAAAGGTGGCCACCTAGGCCAGACAAATCAGTCTCGGTCTTATAAACAGCCCCTACAAAAATTTAGTAACTAGTAACAACATAATTGCACATGAATCCAAAGTTTACCTCCAAATGCAGCCATTTTAAGGCCTGTTAACACTGACACTGTGCTCAATTTTGGTACCCGTAACATGTTTACCATGCTTGGACTACCTATTCATACTGGCCGAGCACAGATTAATTCGGTACAGGTACCAGTTTTATCTGTGCCGTACCAAAAATTGAGCATAGGGCTTAAAAATTGAGTGTAGGGCTTTAGTAGTTTAGTGCTTTAATAATCCAGAATGTGTATTTATGTCAGAAGTATAAAGGGTCAGTGTGCAATAGTCAATTTTCTGTCATAAATGAGTCATTACAGTATGGTACATGCATGTAGAGTTGTCCGTAGGCGAGACTGGAAAGTTTGCAAATTGCGCAACCGAGATCAAAATTTTCCGGATTTTTGCGCGTATAGTTTTCGAATCTGCGCGTTTGGTATCTGAATTAGCGCGTGCAGTTTTAAATATAATTCATAGTTTTTAGTTTTCACCAAACATGACAAACTAAAATTGTTTATTATACAGCCGTTCATGTTCTATGATAGTTTATTTGCTTACGAAATTTAAGTTTTTTAAGAATGATCACATCTGACATCACATTCACATGCACCACTATACGGAACGCTCACCAACATTCGTTGCTTGCCAGAGCCTTTTTTAAGAATTTGTCCGTGGGAAGAGGGCAATCTACAAAGAGGGACCACACTATTGTACCATTTGTACGTTATAGTAAGGGGGGTCTGGGGGATTTTCCCCCAGAAAATTTTTGTGTTTTTCCACCCCTAGGACTGCATTTCGTGCATTTTGTGAACAGATTTTTAGACGCACAGTGTTACATTATACTGTAGATATATTCTTATAGAATCTTCAGTTAAGTACTTCCTTGGATGTTTATGTGAATACCACAACTCGGTCACTAACTTGTTTCGTCGGTTGTCACTAACTTGTTTCGTCGGTTGGTCTAACCTTCCAGCAACTCAAATCTATAGGGTCTGGGATATGCTATCCAAATAATCCAATGAGGCACGGGTTTAAAATCTAATGTATTCAAGACACAATGTTTAGCATTTGTAAATACATTGATCGGACCATCTGACATTTGCCACTTACATTTGGCATAGCCTCGTGCCCAGGCTCTTTAGACTTTAGTTTGCAACCCTAGCATTCAAATGACGTAATTTCACCATCGTTAAAATTTTTGTCCGATCCTCTGTGTCCGATCGTAAACACGCTTGTCCGATCGATCGGACCATCTGACATTTGCCAGTTCAATGGACCATTTGCATTATAGACTAAATTTTGATCTAGACAAAAATTTTATCACAGCTTGAAAGAGCATCACAAAATTAGTAATATCCCAAAGTTTCGTTCCGAAATGTTGTAAAATGCGGATAGTATAGCCTTGCGAAATTTGAAATTTTCAGTCATTTTAGATTACAAACGGGAAATTGATGCCCCAACACCCGATTGGGCTGTCAATTTCCGGTGCGTAATACAAAATGACTGAAAAACGGCAAATTTCGCAAGGCTATATTATCCGAATTTTACAACAATTCGCAACGAAACTTTGGAATATTACTAATTTCGTGATGCTCTTTCAAGCTGCGATAAAATTTTTGTCTAGATCAAAATTTAGTCTATAATGCAAATGGTCCATTGTGGCATAGTCTCCTGCCCAGGCTCTTTACTTTCGGCAACCAAGCTTTGAAAATAACGTCATTTCACCATCGGTAAAATCTTTGTCCGACCGTAAACAGCTTGTCCAATGGATCCGATCGATCGTGGCATAGCCTCCTGCTCAGGCTCTTTCCTTGCAACCCTGGCGTTCAAATGACATCATTTCACCATCGGTAAAATTTTTGTCCGACCGTAAACGTGCTTGTCCGATGGATCCGATCGATCGATCGGACCATTTGACATTTGCCACTTACATTGCGGCATAGCCTCCTGCCCAGACTCTTTACTTTGCAACCCTGGCATTCAAATGACGTCATTTCATCATCGGTAAAAGTTTTGTGCATGTCCTTCCAACATGCACACAAAAAACATTTCGAAAATATAACGGTCCGACCTATATGTCATGCCTGACTGTTGTAATAGTCCTTATATTATAAATTAATATCACGTTATGCTATATATTTGCCTACGTATATTTGTCCATCGGACAAACTATTCTCCGACGGTAGACATGTTTGTCCATCGGATTAATCGGACTCCGATCGCGGATATTGGACATCAATCTAAAGAACAAAGCAGTTCTTTGGAGAAGTAACTTATGGGGGGTCGCATATTTCAATTTATCCGAACTGATTGGCTGCGATTGTCCGATTGAATATTCGGGCTGTATGATATATCTGTATCATACGTCATGAAGTATCAAGTATGTTAGCAGATGGTATAGATGGATGAGTTCGGCCCTCTCAAATTCAGTTATTTACCGAAGTTGGCAAGTTGGCACACTGAGACGCTGACTGCTGTCATGATTTTATTTATAATTTATAAATGATTCGAAATTCGAATCATTCCATCCTGAACAACACGCGTCAGTGTATTATATATGTGTAATGTGTTATTGTATATTTGTAGACAATTCAGTTTCTGATAATACAGAATACAAATTTGACATTTCCATAAAGTGCGACACAAAAACATGGAACAATTCAGTTACAACACTACATTTACCTCGCAGAAATTATTCAATAGTCTCTTGATGAATGATCGCCGTGAAACAACAGCACAGGCCTTCCCTCAATGGTCGATGTTCGCCTTGAAAAGCCAAAACCAAAAGACCGCCGAAATACAATTAGATCAAATTTCGGAATGGCTGATGTTTATTGGTTATTATTGTGCCTCGTCGCAAATGAACTTTCACCATACCAATGCCACATTGATCACATATAACAACTAAAATTTGCGGTGCCGCTGGCATGTGTAAATTTGAGACGCGCATAAAATTGCGGATTTCCTGTGTCTCGCGACATTTCTCGTGCGCGCTAATTTGTCTCATGCAGTGCACGCTTGAAAAATAGCACAATTTTAATTTCATGCGCGCACGCGCTTGAAAAATTGTGCATTTTCAATTTCACCTGCGCCTCATTTTGAAATTGCGCGTTTGACAACAGATTTTTGAAATTTGCGCGTCTGGACGCGCATTTTGAAAAAAATTGTGCAACCGAGATCTCGGTTGCGCAGTACAAACTTTCCAGTCTGGTCCGTAGGCCTACAATAATGCAGGGGGGAGGGCTGTGGCTGGACCCAAAAAATTTAGGCAGGGTAGGGTTTTCTTTTTTTCTTGTAAATTTTTATTATAAATGTTCATGCATGAGATTCAGAATGATATTCTACATCAATGACGGCAGCACAGATGACACAAACATTCATTAAATATTACATCAACTTTGATTTTGAAACAAACAGGTCATACTTTCTTTGTAGATTTCCATGGTGACAAAACACATAATACTTTTGTTTGTGGAAACACCATATGTAGTTACTTGGTGTTTCCACAAACAAAAGTATTATATAGCTAGTACAAAACTAACGCCACAAACTGGGATAGTATCAAATCAAATGTAACCTAGTAGATCATTAATTAAGCCAAGATATACCTGGTAACCCACTATATAGGCATGGCTACCCTAAGGGCATCCCCTATTTGGCCTAACACTATCTAGATTATTCTTGATGTCTCAATGCCAATTAAATCTAAAACATATTAAATGAATCTGATTTTATCAATTCCTATTTTTTCAGCTTTTGTTCTGGATGATATGCTATGCAGTACATGGTACAGGACAAATGCTGTGGGGCTTGAACTAAAAGCAAACCAGCTGAGTGAGACTTGACATTAACAATTAATGACTTTTAGGTACTCATTATTTATTTCTGGCCATGTATATAAATATAATATTAGGAAATTTTAAATAAGTGTAGGTTATAGTAAGTGTAATTACTCTGCCCCAGGAGCCGGTTGTTCAATTCTGGACTAGCGCTAACCCTGGGTTAAAATTTAGCCTGCTGTTTTAGTTTGTGTATTTCTAAACGCCTGTTTATTTCAAAACTTCAGAGAGAAAAACTCCTATCGATCCAGACAAATTTTACTTAGGGTTAAAGCTAATCCACCCTTGAACAACTGGCCCCTGGAGAAAAATTGATTGTACAGTCTTAAATTTATCTATATGTGTAACCTATAATAAATATATTTACTAATAAATACATTTACTATTCTGATCTAATATTTCTTCATATTAAATTATTTATGGCTTCAAGTGAACATGACAGAGGTACAGTTGCAGCAACGTGATGTTGCAGAAGTAAGAGGAAATAGTTTTATGCAAGACATAAATCTCACTTGATGGCAGTTATGTTACATATCTGTTTCATAGATAATATACAGATAATTTTATCTCTAGGGAAACTATACTGTCACATAACTGTGACAGATAGGTTATTGGGCCAAATTCCTATATGTTGCAGATATGTGACAGATATCTGTCATATAACTGTGACAGATATCTGTCACATAACTGTGACAGATATGTTACGGGGCCAAATTCCCATATGTTGCAGATATGTGACAGATACTTACGTACATATATTTCGCAGATATTTTACAGAACTGTGACATATATCTGTCACATATCTGTCAGTTTGGTAAGGGGGGGGTTTCACATTCGTTACAAACAGCAGTTCTGGACAACTATTTGCAGAGAATTGACACATCCATTAATATATAACCCTCTGAATCCTTTTCAACATCTGGGACAACATAAGAAAGCTTCCGTTTCGATGCAGAAGTGTTCAAATCAGAGCTATACTTGACTGGCCTGTCTACCAAGTCCTTGCCGCCCATCTTGAATTTTTTGCTTTGCCACTATGCCACTAAACTTTTGTTTTTTCTTCCTCCCAGACAGTTTCTTGTTACCCATTATTACATTTATCACAAAAAATGTTCCTCTTATCTTTTCACACAAATTCAAAGGCAGATGGCCAAAAATTAAGAGAGATTTTAATGGATGAAATCAGGCAACAAATTCAACAACTATACTCTGATTTAGAAAGGCTGCCTTGTTGCTATGCAACAGAAGGTATGTGATTGGGTGGTTTTCAACAATGCTACAGATGCTACAAAATCATTTTGGCAAGCATTCTTTTCGTTCCCACTGAACTAAACCCTGGTAACTAAGGTCTGAATCCATTGCTAAGGAGGATAAACAACCTGATAATTAGGTCTCTTCATGTGCAAAATAACCGTAATTTATGTGTGAAAAATATATTTTAACACTGATCTTAGTTTTATTATGTTTTAAGTAGTAATAATACATCTTTTTTGAAAAATTTTAACATTTTGAAAAATATATTATTTGGGATTTTGTTACCTGCACCTTGATGAGTGAAATTTTCTAGCATTAGACAGAGTAAAATAATAAAGTAGGGCACATCAGGGCGCAATGTGGATAAATGAGTTAACCAACATTAAAATCACCTAGCCTGCGAACATGTAAATAGGACCATAAGACACCTGTTCAGCAGGTAGGAAAAGTTCAATTTGAATATTGAACACCTTACACAAAGTTAAAGGGCAGCTAAATATTTTACTTCTACTTTCTTGGCATGGGTGGTTTTATATGAATACCTTCTAGCCTTGTAACTTTCTCGCTTTTGTATGTATAATTATTATACTGTCTGTCTGTGGTCAAGCCAGCCATAGCAACAGGTCATTCTATGCAAATTTTAAATTATTTTCATTATTCAAATGATGCTGGTTTATTAGCACAGTATTGAATTGTTCTAGGCACAGCGGCAGGCTATGACAAGATCCCAATGTTTGCTGTTAAAGATTCTATTGACTTTATTTCTGAACCTTTAACTCATATAATCAATCTTTCTATTTCAACTGGCGTTGTCCCGGATAAGATGAAAATTGCTTGTGTCATACCGTTATTTAAATCTGGTGATCATAGACATTTCCAAAACTATAGACCTATTTCAGTTTTACCTATTTTTTCCAAATTATTGGAAAAAATGGTACATTTGACACCGTGAATCATAACATTTTGTTTGATAAACTTGAACACTATGGTATCAGAGGAGTGGCTCTTGATTGGATGAAAGACTATTTTCATAATCGATTGCAATTTGTTCAGTATGACACATTATCAACCTTATTTACCGCAAGTACTGCAAGGTTCTATCCTTGGTCCACTTCTTTTTTTATTATATATCAATGATCTATGTGATGTTACAAATGTACTTGAATTTATTCTGTTTGCTGATGACACGAATCTATTTTATTCCCATAAAAAACAATCTTCCTTAGCTAATGTAATTAATCGTGAAATTGATAAGTTATCTGAGTGGTTTAGGGCAAATAAATTATCAATACATATAAAGAAATCTAATTATATGCTATTTAAACCCAGACAAAAAAATTAAACATTGAGTTACCTATATCATTAAATGGTGACAAAATTGCTATGGTTAAAGAGGTTATATTCTTAGGCGTTATCCTTGATGAGCATATATCTTGGAAGCCTCACATCTCACATGTAGCCAGGAAAATATCTAAATCAATAGGTATTATATATAAGGCAAGTTTTTGTCTCTCAAAAACGTCCTTATATAAACTGTACTATTCTCTTGTATATCCTTACATTCAATATTGTATAATTGTTTGGGGTTCAACATATCAAACCAATTTAAATTGTATTGTATTGCTTCAAAAGCGTGTTATAAGAGTTGTCAATAAAGACAAATTTGATGCTCATACTGAGTCAATCTTTAATGATTTAAAGATTTTGACAGTGGAGAAAATTTACAAATATCACCTTGGTAAATTCATGTGCTTGTATCAAAATAATTTACTTCCAAAAGTTTTTGACGGTTTCTTTACTCTGTTCGGTCAAGTTCATAATTATCATACACATAATGCTAGCTTGTACCTGCTTCCCTTCTGTAGGACTAATATTAGAAAATTCTAAGTTATTTACCAGGCTCCAATTTTTTTTAATACTCTAAAAGCCAAGATATTCCTCAAGTGTCAACTGTCACTTTGTTTCAAAATAAATTTAGAAAATACCTGTTTTCCATTTAATTATCCACGATTAGTTTTATATATTCTTTTTTCGCTGCCAGATATGTAACCTGTAATTAGTCTTGTTTACTATGTTTTCTTTGTAATCACTCACAAACAGTATTATATATACAGTATACACTATATTTTTATGAACTATATTATTACGAAGAGTATTATTTATATTATACTATATTGTAACCCAATTTTGTTATATATTTACTACTGTGAGACACTGCCTCCTTGTCTATCAGATATATCTATAAAAAAGGAGCCCAAACAAAAAAGCCTTTTGGGTTTTTTTTGGGCTACCTTGCTACTTACTATTATTCCTAATTATGAAATACTTGTATGTGTGTGTAATGTAGTGAATAAATTGATTTGATTTGATCAAGTCTCGCATCAACTTTAAATTCCTCCTTATCACATACAAGGCCTTAAACAATCAAGCTCCAATGTGTATTAAAGAGCTTCTCAATTAAAAAACCCACCAGCTACAACCTTAGATCAACCTAATTTTCTCTCACTGCCCCAACTTTACGGAACACTCTTCCCAAAGCCATCAGGATTGCATCCTCAACAGCTACGTTTGCATGTTCCATTTTTACTTCTAGAAAATACATGCATGCAGAAACCCTCTCCTTGCTGACAAAACCATTGTATTTTCCGAACATGAAGTATCTAAAGTAGTTGTCATGGTAACACGATCATTTCTTAAGAATATTCTACAAATGAAAAATCGCTTAAAAATATCACTTTTAATCACAAAATTATCAATTTCCCAACATATATATGTTGGGTATGATATTATATGTAATATAAGCTTCAATTTAAGGTAAAATTCAACCACAAACGCTTCGCAAAACGTTTTAAAGTCTTAAAGTGTTCTTTATAAAACTAAACTGCCTTTATTCTTTAATTAAATGGCTTTATCGATAAACTTTGAGTTTGCAATAAAATGATTTCAAATTCTTGCAAGCAAATAATTTTGCTTTCTTTTTTATTTAAAAAAAATCAATATAATGAAAAAGGGAATCAATATTAAAGATACACTGAAATGGGGCCCGATATGCTGTCTTGTTTAGTTGTTTCATATACGCAAAGGCCGTCGGATTTTAAAGCAATTATAAAATTTAAATTTAAAACAAACTTACCTTCGTTAACGTCGGCTCCCTTCTTTTAGCAGATTCTTTCACCATTTCTTACTTGAAATTTACAAAATCTTGCAAAAATGCGAGCAAAAATGAAATATATTTGCAAGAAATTTATCAATCATCAAATAAAGAAATGTTTGCTATTTTGCTGTCGTCATGCAGTCGTTATAATGCAAATTTTAAATTGGACAAATCACTGTCTTTGCTATTCATGACAGTCCGCCAATTTTTGAGATCAGTGAGGATGACCACCCACGGTTGGTGACCCACGCCCACAATATTTGATGAACTTTAGACTTCGCTAATGTTTTCGTTTCCCCGGGTGTCAATAGCAGGGGGGAATTAGTACCCTCGCACGGCGCTTCGCGCCGTCGGCTCGGGATAAATTGCTGTAATATATTTTTATATAATCCTACCATTATTGTAATCTATTTTATCTAACATTTATAATTTGTATATATCTACTGTTGTAAGAAGCACACTTGAACATATCCATATGAAAAATGTGCTATATAAATGTAATTCATTATCTTTATCATTATCGAACTGTGTTGACGATGACATTAGGATATCTGCAAAAGTAGCATAATTTAGTATTAGATATCGTAGCATCTATCATCGCCAGAAATTTAAGACATTTGAGTTGGCACGTAATGCAGCAAGTCCTTCAGTGTATAATAAGATGCAACATTCAATAATCAAATGAGGGAGTCTATTGACTAGCAGCAATTACATATGTTGTCGTCTCGTTTTTGTACAATGAAACAAAGAAGAGAAAGACTGGGAGGTTGTACAAAGTGGAAAGGATTATACAAAGGAGAAATAAAGGAAAGGTTCATACTATACTTGCTTCACTTTATATAAACGATTTTAACCTTCGAACATTTAAACCATAAATATACCTGTATAAATTAGCCTTTAAACCTACTATAGAATGAAGATATCTCATACAATGGAAGGATTGGCCAATTGAGAGCAGCTTGTGTGAACCAAGTGAAAATCTTAATTCACTATTACTCAGATATGTTTACTAAAAACTTGCAGGGCTTGAAATAACGTTTCCAAAGTTCCCGATCATGGTGATCGACAGTCATGACTTCCCCTGCTTTTTCAGATTGGAAACCCTGCTTTTCCACCGATCATAAGCAATTTCTTTCCGATCATTGATCGGCTGTTATTTCAAGCACTGAACTTGTTTTGTCATGTTTTAATATTGCAAACACAATAAATACTTCAATAAATTATTTAGGAGCTATTCAAGTAATACCACTGACACAATCGGATGATGCTTTGCTGGAGGCAAGCCAAAACATATCAGTGGGAGTTATTTCCTGCATAAAGAGTGCTTTATTTTCTCTGATATACATATTCATGTGACTGGATGTTTGAAGATATGTTAAGTGTGGGAGAAACAGAGTCCAATCACTGTGGGGCACCTCTTATGTTAGAAAGGGATGATCTTTCAAGGTTAAAGTTCCTGCCCACTAACTGGTGGTATTATGTTAATGAATCGGGCATGGGAAATGCCATAGATTTCCCTATAAAACTATTCTATCTTGGTCTCCATTGAACTTCATGTTAGGGAATGGCAATCTTTGTAAGGCACCAAGATTGCCTATAGAAAAATTAAAACTATTCATTTTGAAGAGGCCTTGTAATGTGAATAGTTTATTTAATATATTACTAGAAAATACATGCATGCAGAAACCCTCGCCTTGCTGACAAAACCATTGTATTTTCCGAACATGAAGTATCTAAAGTAGTTGTCACGGTAACACGATAATTTTTTAAGAATATTCTTACAAATGAAAAATCGCTTAAAAATATCACTTTTAATTACAAAATTATCAATTTCCCAACATATATATGTTAGGTATGATATTATACGTAATATAAGCTTCAATTTAAGGTAAAATTCAACCAAAAACGCTTCGCAAAACGTTTTAAAGTGTTCTTTATAAAACTAAACTGCCTTTAATTAAATGGCTTTATCGATAAACTTTGAGTTTGCAATAAAATGATTTCAAATTCTTGCGGCATGCAAATAACTTTGCTTTCTTTTTTATTTAAAAAATTCAATATAATAAAAAAGGGAATCAATAATCAATATTAAAGATACACTGAAATTATATGCTGTTTTTAGTTGTTTCATATACGCAAAGGCCATCGGGTTTTAAAGCAATTATAAAATCAATATTTAAAACAAACTTACCTTCATTAACGTCGGCTCCCTTCTTTTAGCCGATTCTTTCGCCCTTTCTTTCTTGAAATTTACAAAATCTTGCAAAAATGCGAGCAAAAATGAAATATATTTGCAAGAAATTTATCAATTATCAAATCAAGAAATGAAGAAATGTTTGCTATTTCGCTGTCGTCATGCAGTCGTTATAATGCAAACTTTAAATTGGACCAATCACAGTGTTCGCGATTCATGACAGTCCGCCATATTTTTGAGATCAGTGAGGATGACCACCCACGCACAGTGACCAACGCCCGCGATATTTGATGAACTTTAGACTTCGCTAATGCTTTTGTTTCCCCAGGTATAAATAGCCGGGGGGGATTAGTACCCTCGCACGGCGCTTCGCGCCGTCGGCTCGGGGATGAACAGCATAAACAAGTTGTTTCTATATCAGCCAGACAAAGAAAGCTGATTGAATAACCATTTGGTAAAGCTCTTGGACCTGCTTGACATTTTGTGCTCTAGTTGGGAATCCCAGTTCTTTGAGCTTGTCTTGAATCTCGGGGGTGGGGGGCTCATATTTTTTACAACATACAACTCCTATCCTGAGTAACACCAATGTCAGGTGTTTTCAGAGCTTCACGTTTTGCTTGCCGGCTTGCTTTTATTGTTGATGACCTGTAATCAGCATTTTGCTTGGTATATGCCATTGTTTTTCTCCTACATTGCTCTAAGTTTTCAAGGCATTTGCTTGCAAACTGTACATCTTTTGCAGCATCCCACTTGTTGGATTTAAAAAGGTGAATCTTCTGCAGTCATCATTATTTTTCTCAATTCCTAAAATGTGTGAAAACCAAAATTAGAATCCTGATTTCTTGGTTCTCTAAATGTCTAGATTAGAGCTTTGTGCAACAGAAAATACAGGATCCATGATATCGCCAAAATTGAAAAAGGGAGAAACTAGCCTGCAAACAGGCTCTCAAAGTGAATTGAGAGCCTGCACTGTTGATATACAATTTTGAATATCTGCCCCCGTAACATTCATTTTCCCAAATATGGAATGTCTATCCTTATATGGAGTTGTTTACAACTTTCGTGTAAACTAAATTTAGACCGTGCAAACTAAATTTAGACCGTATAGTTTATATTGTTTTTCGAAATATAAGATATTCAGGCAAAAGTTGAAATGTTTTAAATACTGTTTTCTCAAAACAGAATATTTTGTGCTTTGAGATAAGATGGCCAAGACCAATTTGATCAGTTAATGTGTTTTTTATGCATCGTGCTTCAGCAGTTGACATATATAGAGCTCAGCGGAAACATATAAATTATAGCATCTGACCAATGATAAATTCGCGTCACGATTTGAGACGCAGATATTCAAATTCATTAGTCATCGATGCACTCTCAATTCACCTTGAGAGCCTGTTCGCAGGCTAGGGAGAAACTTAGTGTTTCTTTTCAAACAATCAGATTATTATTTACCATCATAGGGCTTATGCAGGTTTACATCATGGTATTGTTTTCACCACTAAGCCTCAATATGGTGTTAAAATTTAGTGTAGCATCAAACAGTCAACGTAAGGCTGGTGGCAAGATCATTTATGTGATGAAAGCTCTACAAACGGCATATTTAGCACAGTTACAATTTAACAATTAGACAACAAAGCAGAGTTGTCTATGAGCTAATAGTCAACAAGGTGCAGCCAAGTTGACTATTCACTGAGAGACAACAAGGCCGAGCTGTTAACTTTTAAATTACGGATTGGACCCCAAGACACCTCCCTGTTCTATTTTCGACTTTTCTCGCAGGTTTGCGGATGGATGATGAGGCTGCGAATGCTTGCAATGCAATCTGGGATAATTTTGCTTTATTTGCATACCAAACACGCAAGAGTTTGCTCGAAATTTGATGAAATAAACTGCAATTTATTGAAGTAAATATTTCGATTTTGAGAAATGTGATATGGCTGAAACATTGTACAACATAGAACAGGGTTTTGGCATTTGTTTTAGCCAATTTTGCTGTTGAAATTAACAATACCGACGACAAATTGGTTACAGATTTTGAAGATGAATTTGGCAAAAATATGAGGACAAGTGCCCCTGCACACAAGAGAGAACCAATGGTTTTTCTTGATTGAGAATTGAACAAAGTAAGTGTCACAATTATCCTTTCTATTTTGATGTTATTCTTGGGTATAAATATAATAAATACAAATGAATATTTATGTTGTCAACAGTGATGCTGAAGGTGATGAATTGTCAGGGGAAATTGTGGGTTGAAATCATACTGAATCTTGCCCCAATTCTTGTCCCAAATTTGTAAGCCTAATTGCTCAGACAAATAATTATGTCTGTTGGCCTTTCTAATGTAGCTTTGGCCAGAGTCGACCACTGCCGATGATGAACCGGGACCAAGTTGTAAACAAAGCAGACGTAGTATTACATCGAAGCAAAAAGGTAAGACATTGAAAACTAGCTTGAGTTCTGCATCACTGATGTGCACCAAATCAGAAGCATAGATTAGGAAACTAATAGATGGCTCACTCCTTTGATGTTCTTGCCAGAGTAATGGCAGCCAAGCAAGTAACTGTGGTAAAATGCATCGTAAAAATTGACATCGGTGCTACTAAATCCTGTATTTTTCCACTTTCAGGGAGTTTAACAGAAAAATAGATCAGAATTTTAAAAATACAGGATTTAGTAGCACCAATGTCAATTTCACAATGCATTTTACTACAGTTACTTGCTTGGCTGCCATTACTCTGGCAAGCTACGAAACAATGTTTTTTAATTTTTTAAAATTATACACTGTCAACTGTAAAACATTTGCAAAATTGCATACAAACATTTAAAAAGTTGTTTACTTCTCAAGAAAACGTTCACGTTTTTAGTTGTGTGTCTACAAGGTTAAAGTGATTATATGTAAACAGAAAAATATTTCAGTTTCATAGCCTAATTGTTCATTTTTAGCAAAAATACAAAACCAAACATGAAACAAAAAAAACATGTCCACCTGTTAATAGGCTGTTACAGCTCATAGATTGAGTAAACGGCAGGGTTCAATTAGCTTCAACCTTGTTTTCATCGATTTGATGCTTCACAATAATCCTTGGCTGTCCATGGCACTCAAATAAATCGAAAAGTTGACAAAAACAAAACAGTAAAAACAACATTGCCAATCGATTTTGCTGATTGAAAACTCGTTCTGCGCCCGCATACAATCTTTTACTAGTCAGTGACGCTTTTCAATAAAGGGAATTTCTCAAGTTACACGAGGCTATTTTCTAACTTTATTTGCATTTTACTCATTAGTTTCATTGGTGACCTATCTTCAAATTTTGACCATGAATTTATTTTGCGGTAAATTTTATAAATTTCAATTTTTAAAAAATCTTTAGTGTGGAAATTTCACAATAAAATTTTCGCTTTTAAGAACATCACACCCTACAGAATTTTTTTAAACTTTCACTACAGTTGCAGAGCATCATTCCCTATTGATATATGAAATAAAAAAGATAGGTCACCGACATTGTTTTTGAGATAGCGGCACATTTATGGGTTAAATTGGAAGGCTTTATGCTGTCGTCATGTTGCCATGGGAACATTGATGTTGTCGAAATCTAGTTCGAAATATTCCTTAGGTGACCAATATTGCCGCCAAGTCGAAAATAATTTGCGTTCTGCACGAATAAGCCTGTTTTACGGAATTATTGCTTAAACAAGAATAACTGTAGGGAGCCACCTTAATGCAATGATGAAAATTACGCTAATTATTCATCAAAAAGTTGTAATTCATCCTCCCCCCCTGGCTACAGTAAGTACCGACATATTTTTTCAAAACCTATTTTTTAATAATCTTCATCCCATAAGCTTTCATAAAATATGCAGCTTTCCCTGCAGAAGCAAATAACTTTCTTGTTTTTCATGGCTGAAATTATACTATTACTAATACAATGTGAACAGCTCCAAAAATTCAGTCATTTAAAAAAATGTGACTATTCACCTTGACTATTCACCTTGACTATTCACATTGAGTATCACTAATAGCCTACTACACCATTTGCCCTTCATTAAACAAAAAAAGAATGTCATTAAGATAATTGAAAATCTTTGGAAATACAAGTCGGAATCTCAATAACACAATTATGTGCAAGTCAATAAGCCTAAAAGGATATTCAATATCAACAATTTGGGCGGTCATGCATTAAAACTGACAGCCATTAATCAAAGATGGAAATTCAATAAGAATACAAAGAACATTCAAAAACATGAAAGACATCTTCGTTTGAATAGAAGGAACGTTCAATTAGAGAATAATGTAATTTCAATAAGGTTGTTATGAACACATAGGAAAGCATTGGACAATTTCAATAAGGTTGTTATGAACACATAGGAAAGCATTGGACAATTTGCAAATGATCCAATTAATCAAATTTCTGGTTACTTCATTTGCATTGGGAATGTTCGATAAAAATCGTTTTGTATAACATCATCTTTAGAGATTTTTGTGAGTTTGTTGTACATTGAAGTACTGTCAGATTGGCGCAACGTCAGAGAATATCACAAGACAAGGAACGGTTGGTTAAAGCATTTGAAGAACAAGATCAAGACTACCTGGCTTTAGTTGATACTGTATGTCAGCATTGAATCGCTCAACTACCACAAGTATGATCGCTCGATATCTGCGCGAAGAACACCACCCATGTGGAGGACGCCTCAATGTTCGATTTGATGCAGATATGACAAGATGCTACTCAAAGAATTGTAGATGAAGATTGCACTTTGTCACTACGGGCCATAAGTACAGAATTACAATGTCGAATGCCTGAGGAGCTATTGGTCACATTTGGACTGAATGCTGTACTCGTAAACATGCTGATCGTAACATGCCAGATGTAATTGAGGGACGCCACAAATATGCTAACTGGTTCTTAGAAGAGGCGAATATTCATCATCCAGTTTTCATCTGGACATTTGAATCTGGACAGCCAGGCGTTAAGGACAGGCTCGCGTTGGAGAGTGTGCTTATCGCCAGGTGTGCGGACAAAAGGGACGCAACCTTATTATTTGCCTGGCGCTATCTCAAGTCTTTTGTTTGGTGCACACACCATTCACATGGGTGGGATGACCAATGATTCCTTCGCTAAGTTTCTCGCAGGTACTGCTACCCACCTTGATGAAAATGAAACTCAATATCTCATTTTCAATGGAGCACCAGCACATCGCCGACCCGAGCAACCTGGAGACAACGTATATATGCATATATTGCCACCATACTCACCATTCCTAAATATTGTCGAGCAAGCTATAAGGCTGAAGGCCAGCATTAAGGCAGATATTTCATGCCCTGCTATGCAAGAACACTTTGCCGAAAGAAATGCGGCAAGAAATGCCCACCTTCCCCTTGGTGAATACAGAAAACAGTTGCTTGTTCAAGCTGTTGAAAGAAATATCGGATAAAGTACAAATCCAAAATGTGCAGCTTGGTTTTGGCATATGCAGACCTATATTCTACGATGCCTTGCTAGGGAGACCATTAATGGTTAAAACTCCGTTTAGCGCATGTATACTGTACACGTGTACAGTAAAATTGTGTGCATAGACGTGCGTAGACCAACAATATTGAGTACAATTTCGATTGATAACACTAGTTTGCTTATTATGTGTTTGCGTGTTAATATGACTGCTTGTCAATAAGCCTATGTTGTTGTTGAAATTACATTATTCTCTAATTGAACGTTCCTTCTTTTCGAACGAAAACGTCTTTTGTGTTTTTGAGTGTTATTTGCATTATTGAATTTCCATCTTTGATTAATGACTTTCAGTTTTAATGCATGACCGTGCAAATTGTTGATATTGAATATCTTTTTAGGCTTATTGACTTGCACATATGGTGTTATTGAGATTCCGACTTGTATTGTCGAAGATTTTAAATTATCTTAATGACATTCTTTTTTTGTTCAATGAAGGGCAAATGGTGTAGTAGCATATAGCCAATCAGAACACACAATACATGATGGCCTACTAGTACGTTTATACTAACTATTATTATCTATTACACTTCACATGACTAGAAATGAAGGACAGTATGGCGGTTGACTTTGTCAGAATATGTGCAGACTAACAAATTTTACGAATTCAAGATGGCGGAAATATAGAGCTTTTTAACAGTATAAATCGATGTATATACAGAAAGAGTGTGAAATTTTCAAGTTGCCCACATCCACAAATCTATAAAATACCTCAATAATGTTGTCTTGCAAACTCTTGACATCTCATGATTTGCTATTAGCCAGCCTGAGTAACTCCATTTGCCGATACTTTCTGGTATAGTGTCGTTCGAGAAGAAGTCAGACAAAATACCCATGTCTATATTTCCTATACAATGTTCAACCTTTCATTTTGCATTGCTTTCGAAGCCCCTTAGCTTGTTTCGTATGGCCAAATGATTGTAAAATAGTCTTTTTTTACAAACTGCAAGCTTGAATTCTCACAGCCAAAGAGCTTGTATCTTTGAATGTGTATGGTGCAAGGGTTTTGACAGTTAAGGTGGCTCCCTAGAGTTTTTTAATTTACTACACTATAGTATTCAGGAGACTCTTGTTTCTTTACTTTACATGACATGAAGACGAAATTTATTGGACACATTGACAATGTTCTCCTGAACATTGCAAATTGTTACTTTTGTGTTAAAAATATGTTGTCATGGCAACAGCATGCTTAGAATAAAGCTCAAAATTTGTCTTTTTCAGGTCATTTTAAAAAGTTCCTTCGGTGAAATTTTTTAAAACTTTGCATAAAAGATAATACTTGTATAATAAATTTTTCCCCTCAATTTAAAAAAATTAAATCGATACGTTTCTTAGAAAATTTAAAAAACCTCAAAAATCAATATTAAAAATTTTCCCTTCGATTTAATTTTAAGAAAAAAGGATATTGCACTTGTTGTACCGATATTAAAAAATGTGCAAAGTTTTAAAAAATTTTACCGAAGGAAAACGGAGAAATTTGGGATTAATTTTGGCAATTTTTACTAGATTTTTACGCGAACAATTTTTAAATACCCCAACTGACGTGTACATGTATTCTGCATAAAACAACAAGGCATGACTTTTTTGAAATCACAAAATATAAATTATGTTTGATATACTGTTTATAACTGTGTCGGTTAATGGTCAACTAAGCGTGGATTATACATGTAAAAATGGCAAAGATATTTAGGTAATTACTGGTTATGACTTCTTGGTATTATAATTTGAAAAATGTTTGTCAAAATTCGTCCCGTGCGAGTACTATATTCGGATGTTTTCGCAAAATGCCCGTTCAAATTTCAGTTTTTATAGCGGTATGTTTGGAGTTTCAGCCCTGCTCATTTCACCCGTAGAGGGCTCATTATTTAAGTCATCTTTATTGTCATAAGTGCTGCTAGATTGTGGAGAAAACACCGCAAATTCTTGAGGAAACTTTATATCCCAATGTTCACGATCGAACCTTGCGTACGGCGGCTCAAAAAACATCCAGAATACCGTTTGAAAAAAACAAGTTTACATTATCTTCTTTTGAAACATCACATCCAAGTATCGTTTAGCTTTTAGAACTCTTTTATGCTTTCAACTAAAGCAAAGTTCACACTTTTGTTTCAAAAAAGAGTTCCATATAAAACACAACGTTCGTTCGTATTTTGAAGTCACACGAGTTTTAGTTTACATATATACGAAGAACGTAACCCCCGGGAATAAAACCCTAGGGAGCCACCTTAAACTGATTATGACAAAGAAAAATTAAATAAGTTTTGGTTCTCCTGGATAAATCCAAATCTTACCTGGTTAAACAGAGAGAGGGCAGTTGAATGATATCAGTGAGGTGATCCAGTTATCTTTTACGGATTTGTTGAAATCACAAATTCAAGATGTTGTGAATGAACATGACCAGACGGATTGGAGTAAAGAGAAAATACAAATAAACATTTCTGGTGATGGGGCAAAAATGACAAGGAAGTCAAATTTCATCTTGCTTTCCTATTCATTAGTTCAAGGCCAAAATGGTGTAATGGCGGCAAGTGGAAATCATCCATTTGCAGTTGTCAAGGGCTTGGAAAGTTATGAAACTCTCAATGACTAGTTTGAAGCAGTTTTTCAGGAGATAAATTATTTAATTGAGGTAAGTGAAATAACAATTGATAATTCCAAATTTGATCTTGAATTCTTCCTTGGAACTTGAACTCCTTTTCATAATGTTGGGAATGAAATTGGAAACTTCAAGTTTTGCATGTGTATGGTGCAAAGTAAAAAAGGAAAACAGGTGGCAAATGGACAAAGATTCAAATTGTTATAACTCTCCCCCACTCAGGCGCATGCTGCAACAAATAATTGATGTGGCAAATAAAGAGGAAACTCGAGGCAAGTACTTTTGCGTGCAGGCGCCACTATAAATTAAGATTGATTTAGACCATGTTGTTTTGGACGAGCTTCATTTATTACCTAGAGTAATGGAGGCATGGTAGAAAAGACGGGTACTGGATAAATGGGTACTGGGTAGATGGGTACCGGGTAAATGGGTACCAGATAAATGGTACATTCAATGTGTTTTTAAAATTTTTAATATCCTGAACACATGCAGCCTTCAATTAATTATGATAGTATGCTATATTGGACAGCAGTGGTGTATATCTTATATCCTATTATTTAGTCGCACTCAAACTTATAGCAACTATATACAACTTATAGCAACTGGCTTAATTTCACATCTGCAGATTTAATATGCCTAATCAAACGTAATGATATATTAAATTAATTTATTTAATTCAAACTCCCAAATCCAATGCAAAAATTACATCGTTTTACCATCGGATGTTTTTATTGTTTTAGTCGACGTCTTAATTTAAACCAACACCATAGTGCATGCAGAGTTGCAACCAGGTAAATCCTGAATACATCTTGCATTTTACTAATAAACATGATGCCAAACAGAAGTTGTTCAAAAATCATTGCAAATATTTCAAAACTATTATTAATATTGCAGCTATTAGTGCACTGTGCCTGTGTGCCACATTGCTGATTTTTTTGCACTCTAGTATAGCTACACTAATGATTCCTGCCTGAGTTTAAAATATTATGGAGTTTTTAGTATTTTGCTGATACCATGCAGAAAAAAACTATAAAGCACGCTTCAAATGCAAGAGACTTGTTTTTCGCACAGTAGTGTCTACAAAAATAACCTATAAACTAGAAGTTACTATCGCAAGTGAAGTGCTGCCTTGAGAAAACAATTTTTCTTGAATTGGGCAAATAAACTGGACATGTCTCGGAGAAAATTAGAACTCCTACAAGTGGACAATAGGTACGCATAGGCCAGAATAACATTCCATTGAGTTGGGGAGGGGGAGAAATATCAGCATTGTACTGTCTCTTTCATATAACTTGCAACAGAGTGACTCTGTTGCAAGTTATATGATAGAGACTTGATCAAAATGGATGCAAAAGTAAATAGGATGGAAAATAAACTGTAGGTAGATTGTTGTGAGTTTACGTTTTCTCTTTCTAACAGAGAAGTAATTTTCGTAACTTTGTTAATTAGTCACAGCATAATAAAATTGTAACAACATTTAACATCAACTCGTATAAGTAGTTATATATATGTAAATTCCAGTGACAAAGCCAGCTCCCATTTTGTTCATGCAATGCAAATATGTATGTGTTACTACAGACTGTGAAAAGAGTCAATTTGCGAATAGGTAAAGTGTAAACAAATGCAATCTCATCCCTAAGTACTATATTCCCCAATGTCAACAAAGTTGACATATTAATGTCAGAACAAATAAATGTTTATAAAAAATTAAGTTGAAGTCCATTCTGCTTCATATTAAATAGAAGAATATTAAGTGCAGAGTACTAGAGTAGCATCAGCTAATCAACAAAAATGTTAACAAAACTAATATGGCATAACATGCAAATAGTTCAACATACGTGGCTTGCAGTTTTAGTCTTGTGAAAGTGAAATATCACTTACCACATTATTGATATTACAAATGTTATCTTAAACTTTTGTGCGGAAGAATCCAGAATGGATAAGATTAACTCTTCCTCGGAAACTTTATGTAGTTCCACCGTAGATTCAGTGATTGTAATGAATTGTTCTACCATTTCATTTGTGAAAACAAGGCGCAGATTTTTTGATGAGTCGTCTGGTCTCACAACTACTCGGACTGACCAGGAGGTAGCACATGCTTTTGCTGATTGGGTAAGACCACACGAATGACAAACAGCTTTGTTTTCAGCAACTTGGACAGATTTTCTGTTGCAGCCTAAACAAACCAAAGATTTGGTGGTTGTCTGAATGCCAAGGATGCGGCCAGAGAGGGTTGACATTGTGTTTATGTCCTCTTCTACTGGTACAAGAGGGGTGGTGAACTCTTCACATTCGGTTGCAGTGAATTCATCATTCCGTGGAGTATTTAAATACCGCTCGTACTTTGTTACTTTAACCCTCAGATTTTTAAGGAGGTATGTTTTATTTATTTGAAGTGAATTGACATGTTTTCCCCAGAGGACAACCTTTATCCAGGCGGTGTTATCTCTTACAATGACTTCCTGCTTTTCGGTTCTCCCGGAAAACTGTGTTGTAAGGATTTTGGTTCCATAGATGCTAGTTGCTTGACCTTTGATGCAGATCAACTGTTCACCAGCAAGGTTGTGGATTGATGATAAGCTAATTGGCTGCCCAGTGGTACTTGCAGCCAAATCTTCTGAATACGGAAATGATATTTTATCTCCATCTAATGGTGTGATGTCAGTCCATTTGGTGATGATCAGATCATCATCTTTCTGTTGTCTGAAATTTTTCATCTTGATGGGGCCTCTTTGCTGTGGCAACAGTTTTGAGTTCATTTCGCTTCTCAGGGGAATAGCAAACTGCCCTCATTGACTTTTCTTTTGACTGCACAATGCAGTTAAAATATCGCTTGTTTGATGAAGTGGCTTTTCGGATTTCAGTAACATTATGCAAGTAGCAATCAAGGATGGAGTTGCCTTTAAAATTCAAACAAATATCTCAATTAGTTTATTGAGATAAAAAAGAGTGATTTGCTCATGTGCCGCATGTTTTCGTTTTGGAAAACATGGACTTAGCTAGATTTTCCAGGTGTCAAGCAAATGCAGCAAGCAGAGGCTTATCAGAGTTGTGTTCCAAGAATGAAAATGATATCTATTACGCTTAGTGCTTATCGTATTTAATGGCGAGTCGTGGGATATTCAAGAAAAAAATTTAATATCCCCCCCCCCCCATGTAAGGGGGTCAAATTTGTAATTTGTGAAGGGGTCTTAGAAAATGACAATTAAATCACAATTGCCAAGATACATCAAGACCATGTATCAGCAAATTCAAGCACTATAAAACACTAAAAAGGCATTCAAAGTTGAACTGTTAATTTCAGAAAAAAATCCAAAAACTAAAACAAGAATAATTCAAACACTTTCAAGCACTTCTTTACAAATTCCTGGACATTCAAGGCGTTGAATGTTTGTTTTCAAATTCAAGAACATTCAAGACTTTCAAGTTTTGTATGAATCCTGGAAAAATTTCCGAATGATTTCGAAAGGGTTTACTTTTTCCGATGGGGGTTTCCTGCCAGTGAACCTCGTCAACAGGTATTTTGAAAGGGATCTGTGTGAAAAATTGGAAATTTCAGAGGGTTTTTGGCAAATTTAAAGAATTTCTCAAGCGCATTGGCAAAAACGTTTCCGAAAGGGTCTAAAATAAGAGATCTCGTCCACAAGGGGGGGAGGGGGACATTAAATGGAATGGCCCAAAACAGGGCGCCATATGTATGCATGCATGATCATGAGCGCCACTTTTGTAATCCTTGAATCCATCGTGTATTTAATCCATCCTTCGAAAATCTTTCCTCATTTTTGTATCTGCGAAGCAGATATATATGCCATCGCAAACGTACCGTACCGTGTGTTAACAGATAGCCATTCAGCGACGAGCTTATATAATTTAAGACAATTTAAGCCAATCAGCGATTCGTTTACATCAATTGTTTACATCGTACCCGCATCTAACCTGCGAACGGGCATACTTTAGCCTCGTGTATAAATCGTATTTATTCTTTCAAAAATATCTTGATATTTTTATCAATTTATCTTGGATTGGCTGTCTTTGTTTTCTCGCCATTCTACTTGCGATATTATTCCGAAGTATTTATCAACATGGAATCTTATCCTCATCTGGTAAGTAGTCAAATACCACATATTATATATTTAAATACCAAATTTGTGCAAATATATCTCCCACATATTTTATAAATACATGAGTTCGCCAGTTCGGCAAATATTTACTATACTATCTATAGTTAATATTGCCGTATCTTCGGCGTGGAGTTTACATGGAATGCACTCTGGAATTTTTTTATTAATATATTTAATACACTGTATAAAATATTGGATATTTTCGAGGATATTTTAAGCCATTTGTCAACATAGTTCACAAAAAGATTTATACAGTAAAACAATCCTTCTGTGACTTCTGTAATATTTTAAACAGTGAAAACATAGCAGGCAATACTGCCAATTAACAATATCAAAGGAACCTATTGGACAGTTCTCAGGAGATATTGAATTAAATCCTGGTCCTGTATTTCTGTATATTGACTCCGTATTAAACTCTGTTCAAAACAATAGTCCAACTATAAAGCTGTCATCAAATGTAGTGTTAGAGCAAAGGTTGAAGATGTTATCAGTTAAAATACTTATACATTTTGGTTTTACACATTAGAGTTAATTAAACAAAATTTTTACAAACACTTTCAAATAAAAGAATCCTCACCCTCCCAAGCTTCATTACATTGTCATTTTGCTTTCTAACATAAATATTTTTCTTTAGAGATTTAATAATACAAGAATGAAGAATAAATGTACTGGATATTGGCTGGATAATTTTGTCACAACAACCAACTTGCAAGACAATCTTACCTAAATTTATTAGTATGGAAAATAACTTAACAGCTACAATGAATAATCATATATTATATGGTGGATTTGATCAATGGCACACAATGTACAAAACTAAACTTGTGATACCTTCTACTCAAACCGATAATCTCCCACATCACAATTGTTTTTGTGTGAATGTACTGTACGTGTTAAACCGAACAGTGTGGTATATCATTAACCGTGCACAGAACTGGAATTTAATTATATACTTCACTCATGACCTTCAAAACATTCGCAATTATTCAGTGGTCTTCGACATGTTCACCAAATATTTTGTGTATGTTACTCAACAGTTAACATTGGCAAGTGTAAACAACAAGTGACATAACTTTTGCTTCATATGATTACAATAAAGTTTTGAAAATTTGATGAGTATGGATTGAATTGATAGGTGACAGTTTACTAAATAGCCAGCTGTATAGACACTTTGAATATTGTTTGCATGAAATTTTTATTTCCTGACTGCACAATTATCTGTTACAATATCATAATCACATTATAAAGTTGGTTAAATTTTCTCGGTGCGGGGGTGGGGGGGGAGCACTTGCCCTGCTGCCCTCGCCGCTGTGTACAGCCCTGTTTTAAATCTTATCTGCTATTATAATAAGTGATGAAATATTTCAATTGTCCCATGTCACCTTCATTATTCAGTTCCTTTCAAGAAAATACAAAATGTGAATCAAGTTTTTTCGCAGATACATGTACGCGTCGCGTACCTATTTTTATCGAATTTTGTTGAAAATGTAACAATCAAACTGTTTGGTTGCTATTTGATGCTGTTTATGTAAGATAAAATGAGTAGTAGAAGAGCCCATGTTTGGCCATTAAAAAGTATACGAACCTGAATTACTGGCTTCACCTTCGCCTTGTTGCTGTTTTTCTTGACTCATCTAACAAAAACACGAATTCTATTGTTTACAATATGTTAAGGGATGTGGAATAAGAAATATTAAACTGAAACGAATATTATGGACAAACTCATTTTGTCAATAAAAATAGCGAAAAAAAAATACAAACATATTTGGTCATTGCACGCGTCTATATAAATGCGTAAAATGCAAATGAGTTTATGATTTTAGTATGTCAAATTGCAACTTTATGTAGATATCAGTTGCAAGCAATTACAAAATATAAAAAGAAGACAATGAAAGACAATATAACTTACTGTTCTATATTTCTTCGCTTAATACAGTATTATCTCTGTGGTTCCACCGTGTGCTCTCGTTGCCGTTGGAAAATACAAAAGGCCAAAAATGAGAGTGTTCGAAAAATTACCCATGATCCTTTGCACAACACAAATTCAGTGAGCTCTCTATATATCTGGACCACAGTGATCTGGATATTATACAGCGTATATTAATTTTATATTTATTATTACTGTAAATTCATCGGATATTTTAAGACATTTGTGAACTTTTAATATAGTTCACAAAAACATTTATACAGTAAAACAATAGTTGTGTAATATTTTAAACAGTCAAAAACATAGCAGGTAATGTTGCCAATATACAATGTCGAAGGAAGCTACACAGTAATGTTCTCAGGAGATTATGGAGATATTGATTTAAATCCTGGTCACCTATTTCTGGAACTTTGTTCAAAATAACAGTCCAACTAAAGGTCCAGTTATTCTCCTATCAATGTTAAGCCCCAGGGGGAGGGGGTGTGGTTGCATATGTGGGGCATTTGACTTTTTTAGCAAATTTTCAATCAAATTCCCCAGCGTTAATCAAATTCCCCACTGGGCAATAAATATTAGTCAAATGGCCCACCATTTTGCAATAAATTGCAATAAATAGTATATTAATAACAGACATTTAAGTTAAAGTATTTATACATTTTGGTTTTACATATAATGATATTAAGAGTTAATAACTGCAGAATCTCCACCCGCCCTCTTTGGATTTTCATAGTTACATGTTATGCATGTGAATGTTGGTACCAATGTTTTAAACCATCCTCACTTGTCAAAACGTCTAGAAGAACACAATTAGCAATATACATGATATGTCTTTTAACGTGATATGACTAGTTTGTTGCAAGTTTTCGTCACATATTCTTTCGAAGTAATGACAGTCTACTGTCTTTTCCATTTGGTGAACAAGTCCTACTATTGTTTTTTGTCCAATAGATAAATGTTTCATATTTATTTAGCATGTCCAGGACTGGTAGTGTCCATTGTTAGCCATCATTATTGTCCAATAACTTGTTAGGTTACTGTACTGTACATATAAAAGTATGTGAGATCTTGACATACAATGTTCCTGACATCCATATGGTAGATTGGAAACAAGTTTGGTAAAAATAATACATGGCAGAGTCCATCCAATTGCATATTAGATGTAATATATCCATACAATCTTGTAAATCAGCATTCTTGTTTTAATAAAAATACATATCATTCTGTTAATCCAGAAGTTCCCATCAATTTTCATGAGATGTGATATATCCATATTATATTTTGACTTTAACAACCATTTGGTTTCATCCAGCAGTTAACATGGCACCATTCACATCCATCAGAATTGCTAAACTATAGAAAAAAAATAATTGCCAGCATGAGATATTTACTTATGGTAGGACATAAACAAATGAAAATAAAAGCACTCTAGGGCAAGGGGAGGGGTTAAACAAACAAAAAACTTACCATTCTTTCATCTTGCAAATCATAATTTTTTCATACATACAGTGATAACAAGGAGTAAATTAGTATAAAATAATAAATTAAATTATGGTATATATATATTCAAACTACATACCAAAATATAACTGGGATCCATATATGAAATCCCTCTCTTATTCAAACTCAATAGTTTGCTTAATAATTTATTCAAACTCAATAGTAAATGCACTGCTAGTAGCTTGTGCTAGCTGATCTAGCCTGTTTTCTTCTTCAAGCCTATATTGTAAGTTAGCTGATTTCAAGCTTGTTAATCGTTCATACGTCATTGGTTCAATGACACAAGATGCAAGTGATTTAACTCTGCTAATAGCAAGATAGGAAACTCCAGCAGTTCTTTCAGATTTGCCAATATCTATCCATGCTTTTGGAAGTGTAAGTCCTTGTGTATTGTTACAGCCCAAGCAAGCCTAAGAGGTAACTGTTGCCTCTCATGGAAGCCTATTTCTGTCTGTGATGTGACAGTGATTGGACATATTGGAATACACAAAGGTTGGCTTTCATTAAAAACAGGTCCCCTATAGTTTTCAAATTCTACTATCACTGCAATAGGTAAGTCAGGTGGTTGATGGTTGTTCTGATAGATAATATCAACAACTGTTCCAGTAGCCCCATTGCAGAGGCCAACACTTGACCACAAATTCATGGTTAGCATGACCCTAGCACCTTTTGCTAGAAACACAACAGGTTCTAACCCAGACATTTCATCTGAGGATATCTTTTTGGCCAATGCAGATGAATGGCGAGCATTAATACAAGCAATTGGATGCTCAAGTTTTGTCACTTGCTCATGGTTGTAATTAGCAACTTGCTCATTACTATAAAAGAGTCTAGTGGAATCTTGAAAGTCACATTCGATGGTTGACGGGTCAGAAGTAACTTCCAGTCATCAACTGTTGAGTCACCTTTGCGAAGGTGCAATAACAAATCTCTGAACTGTATTTGCTCAGATGTCATACCTTGCACACATTGATTTACTGTGAGTTTAACAACTTTGTCAAACATATGATATGCTTGATGACCTTGTTCACCAACAGCATTTGATGGTCTAGCATGGTAAAGAGGCTTATCTGCTACTGGTGGCAATTGACCTGGATCACCAGTTAAAATCAATGATTTTCCACCAAATCCTTTGTCATTATAACCAGTTGCTTGTTTGCAACGCTTGTCTATCCAACCAAAAGCAACTTGGCCAAGCATGGAGTATTCATCAATAATGATGTATCCAATGTTATTAACCACTCTCTTGTAACCTACACAAGCTTTGTCCTGTTAAGTCTTTGTTACCTCTTGATCCTATTGGTAACTTTAATAGAGAATGCACAGTTACACCTCTAATGTTATATTAAGCTGCTTTACTTGTGGTAGCAGTAACAGCACATTTACTTTGCAAACGATTTCTAATAGCTTTAATAAGGTAACTTTTACCAGTTCCTGCAACACCATTTATAATGAGACATAATGGCTCTTTCGCGGATGATGTATCATCACAATGAGATGTAACAATATCATAAGCAAGTTTTTGCATTTCGCTAAAACTGTTTATGTCAACAACATCATATTGCTCATCAATAGTGTATTCCTCTTTGTTTGTTTTTATCCATGTTGGCATTCCATGGATTTGTTGTTCTGAATAATTGGCTCTGTCGAGATGCCAGTCATATGTGAGGCCCTGTTAGGGGGGGGGGTCTGAATAATCCATAATCCTAGCAAAAATTTAAAAATAATCCGTATCCCATTTCTATAAACAAAAATATCCCTTTAATAATTTAAAGAAATGTGAACAGTCAAATTATTTCACGTGAGATCAAGTGACACTCGAGTGATTCATGCGTGTGATTCATGCATGTCACATACACACGTATTAAAAAACGCACAGACTTTATTAAGTAGCAACCCTGTTCCAACAACTTGTCAACAGGATGTGTTCGCACTGCTTGTTCCCAGTTCAGGACCGTAGCGAGGGGGGTATTGGGGGTGTGTGGTTAACCCCCAACTTTTTTAGAATTAACATATTCGGAAAATTAGGAAATGGCCGTTTTAGAGACTCTAAATTTAAAAATTTCCTTGGGCCTTTGGCCCTCGTTTTCAGCCTCCCCCCGATTAAAAACAGCTTCCTACGGAACTGCCTTCGTGCCTTTGTATGTCATGAAAGATTCGGAAATTTTTTTCATCATTCGGAAATTTTTGCCCAACACCCCCCCCCCCCAACTATACATGCTAGCTACGGCCCTGTCCCAGCTTGTTGACAAGTTGTCAACGGCTTGTTGACAACTTGCTACAAGGTTGTTGAGCTCAACAGACTTGTTACAAGTTGTTCCAACAACTTGATATCAACAATTTGTCAACAAGTTGTGAGTGACAACCTTGTAGCAACTTGATAAAATATCAGCATTGTTACAACTTGTAGACAAGCTTGCTACAAGCCTTTTGCGAACACATCTTGTTGACAAGTTGTGAGATATTTACCTGTGTACGTGTTTGCGCGAAGATTGCGTGTGTTCCATCTCAAATGTGCGAAATGGTCAATAATTAAAATTTTTCAGCACCTTTTAATGGTGTCCCCAGTATAAAGAAGATATTGATATTGAATGGCATCTTATGACCTCTTACAAACTGCAAATTGTACCTCTTATTTTATTTTCAATAGCAAAAATGGATGATCTTTGCATATCAATAATCCTAAAGTCCTATCCAAATAATCCATAATCTTTTTTTTAACCAGCAATAATCCGTAATCCTGCCCAAAAATGCCAAATAATCCGTAATCCTAGAACCCTAACAGGGCCTCATCAGTTCTGCCTAATTCCTGCTTCATGCAAGTGGCTAATGCAATGAAAGAAGTGAACAACCCTCCACAAGCCAACACTGATAATACATTACCAACTGACCCTGAAAAAAGTGCTGGATCACACTTAAAAATGGATAACTTGGTAAAACCATACAAATTTCATGAGAGTGATGAAGAGTCCCATGTAAATACCAAAATTAAATCATTTGTAGGATCTATACCAATGCTGAGTCCTATGGAAGTGTCAGAAGTAGAACAAGCCACAGTAAGTCAATCAAATAGCACTGATTGGTTTGAGTTTAGGAAAGGTCGAATAACCGCCTCTAAATTCTATGCTGTTCATACGAAAGTCAAGTCGATTGAACAAGGACAATTGAACGGAGAGTTGGTTAATGTTCATAGCTTACTCTCAACAATAATGAACTACAAATCACTAAGTCATGATATCCCATCTCTTAAATATGGAAGAAATATGGAGGAAGAAGCAAAAGCATTCTACAATAACAAAATGAGGAAAGAGCACACAGATTTTGGATTTAGAGATTGTGGGCTTTTTCTTGATATGAATAAATCATATTTGGGAGCAACACCTGACCAGTTGGTACAATGCAAATGCTGTGGAGAGGGACTACTTGAAATTAAATGCCCTTACTCTATAAGACACACAAAGCCTGGTTCTGAAAACTTGGCCTTTATTACTTCTGATAAAGAAGCCAACCAGTGTCAGCTGAAAACCAATCATAGTTACTATGCACAAGTACAGGGACAAATGGCGATAACTCAGAGAAAATGGTGTGACTTTTTTGTATATACAGCACATGGATATTATATAGAAAGGATTGCTTTCAGTGAAGCATACTGGTTAGATATTTGTGAAAGCTTGGATTATTTTTGGATTAACCATTTGTCACAAGAACTTGTAACTGAAAAGTTATTAAAAGCAGTAGTACCAGTATAAAACATACATACATCTTTATGAGGTAGTATAAATCAAGCTTGTATTGCACTATTACTGTAAAAGTTTAGATCATTCAACATGGTCATACCCCTTTTAACCATTTTTTTATTTTCAATGATATTAATATGAAAATACATTTTTTGAAAGAATAAGGTGATAGAAAATGACCAATGAAAAAAATTTTACAAAATCATTAAGGCTAAAAATTAAAAAAAGTAGTCCTCGATTAACGCATAATTACTTACTGTAGCATCGTATTAAAACACCATATCTCATGAACTAATGATCAGAACATACTGATATATTTTTTAAATGCTCAGAACCTGAGCTAGTGCCTGACACTCTTTGATTTCTTTAAAAATGCTTTTTAAAAAATAGAGCAAATATTTGACTTTTTGAGTTTCTTATTAAATGCTTTTTAAAAAATAGAGCAAATATTTGACTTTTTGAGTTTCTTATTGAGTAATTTAACACTTAATCTGTCAATAATTCATCAATCAGGAGAAATGTTGAAATTTAAAAAGTCTCAGGCACTAGTTTATGTTATGATCTGTATTAAACTATGCCAAATGTCAATCTTCTACAATAAATATTCACAAAGTTACAGTGTCACAAATATTTAGTGATACCGGTCAAATTATCAAAATGAGAAAATCCAGTTTGAAGTTTTCTAACACTGTCAGCAGAATTTACAACAGCTTTAAATAGCACTTTCCATTTGGCACTGATGGACAAAATTCTAAATACATACAACAATTACTTTTTTGCAAGTTGTGGATACAAATTGCATAGTGCAGCGCAAATGAAAATGATATCATCGGTTGATTTTGCGATAGGTGTATGGATACTACCTCTACCTTGGTATTCATAATGAAACCAGTGCCATTTCGCACCAAGTGTTTCATAAAGCCAGTGTTTTACAAAGTTTTCTAATCTTTGGGTAAAAAACCAATCCACAACATGGGGATTGTTAATGACATTTTGTCGTCTAACATTACTGGTAGAACTACCCATTCCGCAATTAGTACTCGCTTTAAATAAAGCATGTAATTCTGGCCAATGCATATCTGCAGAGGAAAAGGTAAAAATTAATGTTGGTGCTCCAACACTAGTTATAATAGACTTGAGTTCTTCTCTTACTCTATTCCAGTAAGCATTAGTGCCCGCAATATTGCCAACATATCTCGACACTTTAGACATAAATACTCTAGCATTGTTACTGGAAGCCATTTCTCGCAGTTCATCAATGGTGAGATGTGCTTCACCTGGGTTTTGTTTAAGAAATATTCCACTTTGTTGTAAGATTCGTTTTCTTTGAATCATATTAAAGGCAAAATATGAAAATCTGGGGTGGTTAGCAAAATGGTATACCCATTTACTATCAATAATTTCAGCAAATTTTAGAAGATGCTTTATTCGTTCCTGAAGAGGGACATCTCTCAGACGTCCTTGATTAGTTGGATCACCTTTCCCATCTGGAAACAAAGTTGGGAAAGCCATTGTGGCCAGATGTGACACTTGATACTCATTTAATGGCTCATTTTCAGTCGAAGGCCATGGCATTGGCTCATTTTCAGAAAGCTGGTTTCTAACGGCTTCAATTTCCTGTTGTTGTTGTTCGCCAACAGGTAAAAAACTACTCATTTCAGTAGAATCATCATAACAATATCCTCTGAGGGGTTATCAGTAGGAGGGGCCTACATCAGGAGAATTACAATTGTCATCTGAGACTATATCATCATCAGTCTCAACAGTCATGAGATCTGGTGGTACACCATTTTCAGGTAATGAATTTAATGCATCTTCATTAATTGTTAATTGAGAATAATGTGGATTATTGGTTATAAGTCACACTAAGGCATTGTGCACATTTTGCTTTCGCACTGTAACATCTTTGAATGTGTTGTCTCTACCTTTTACTTTGACAATAATAATAGCCAAGTCTTTAGGTATCTTGGCTAAGACATTGCAAGCTCTGTGACATTTTGTGGCATGTTAATACAATGCCCTGAGTAACCTCTCTGACCGCCAGGTTTAATATAAACTCACATGATAGGCAAAGCACGAGCAATTAACATTTCTTCAATCTGAGTTAAATTCTGTAATTCATGTGGAACAGATGAAGGTATCATTGAATTTTCATACGAAAACTTACGAGGAGATTTTTTATCTCTACAGCACTGTAAACACACATAAGGTGATCTTGGTTTGGATTTCAAGGGCCATGCCTCCTGACAAACTGTACACTGACTGACAGTATATTGCACAGACTTATTAAACTTATTAATGTTAGCTTTTGCCCAAGATTGTTCTTCAATACCACCATTTTGAGTGATGTCAAACAAATTTAAATAATCAGTTTGGCTCAGTTCAGCTTGAGGCTGTGACACTCTTTGTGTCCGCTTTTGCTTTTTAGACAGTCTATCTTTCTCAAGTCTATTTCGTCTCTCACTGTCAGATTCTTCTGACCGTTTTCTTTTTTTCATATCTCTTACTTTCTGGAGTCTGATTTGTCTTTCACTGTCAGTTTTGTCTGACTGAATTTTCTTTTTATAATCACTAGCTTTTTTAAGCCTAGCTTGTTTATCACTTGTTTGTCTCTACTGAACGCCTCTTTTTCTGATATTCTCTATCATTTTCAACTTTAGTTTTGCTTTTGGAAGCTATATATTTATTTAACTGCACAGGTACAATTTCAAAAGAGTTGGTATGTAGTTCTATTGACAGAGAATACAAATATTGCTCCAACTCTAGAATGTTAGTAAACTTCATGACAACAGCAGTGCCATTAGGATCAGGCATTCCACTAGAGTCTCTGGCATGGAAGTCAAAGAAAAAGAAATCATTCATTTGCTTTATTAAGGCCATCATATAGTCCTCTAATATTAAAATAGCATGACTGTCATTCAAGAATATATTCAAAAGTGCTGTATGAATATCATAGTAAGGAAACTCAATTTCCCGATCAGTTATAACAAGCCCTTGAAGCTCCTTTCCATAAGTTATAAACCAAATTTGGTTTTCATTTTTGCCAGTTTGTTCTTCCAAAACAATGGGTAGATCAATGCTATATTTTGTGCCTCAATCACATTGTTATTTTGTGCCACAATGGGTAGATCACTATTTATATTTTGAGCTACCTCCACAGGTAGATTGTTTATATTTTGAGCTACCTCCACAGGTAGATTGTTTATATTTTGAGCTACCTCCACAGGTAGATTGTTTATATTTTGAGCTACCTCCACAGGTAGATTGTTTTGAACTACCTCCACAGGTAGATTGTTTGTATTTTGAACTACCTCCACGGCCACAGGTAGATTTAAACCCTGATTTTTCATCGGACTACATGTATTCGTACATAAATTATTAACAGTAACAATTGTTGGTAAATTAGCTATAGACAAAAATTCTACACCAGGGTCTAGGACTAATAGGCCATTATTCAAAGCTCTTAAGTACATCTTGTCTCCCTGTATTAAGACATTATTAATTGTTGTAAACAACCACGTGGACAATGGGACATTTCGGGCTGTAAGAAGCGCCGATAAACTCATAAATGCACATTGCTTGCCTCTAGAATGAACGCTAAACAGTTCATCGCCTTGATAGGTATATTAGCAGAAAGAAATAAATCCATACTTACCTGGTTTCTTTGGGAAGTGTTCGTATTTTCCAATAGTCAAATTCAAGTCAGAAATTATCCAAGTCAGATGCAGATTTAATACACCAGCACAGAAAAAAATCATGAGAATATGAAAGCTTGCAAAGTTGCAATATGCGCACGCAATTCAATATTTTTCTCGCACTCCCCCCGTCCGTTCCCCAGAATTACGACATCTGGACAGACACAAGATCTCGATCTCGACTATACATAAATCGGCGTGAAAGACTGGGTCGAGTGAACCCTGGAGAAGCTTGATGTCGAGATTAGGAGTGCTGCCTGCGGCAGCAAATATTGAAAAATCTGCCCAAATAATGGCTTTGCAAGACACACCCAAAATATAAAAAATATAATCATGGCACCGCCCACAAACGTTTCCAAAGTTGCTCTCAGACATAAGGATTTCAATGTCACGACTAACACGTTTGATTTAAAAATATGTCTATAAGCACTTCATACTATTTTAAAGTCTCTGTAGTTTGAATTTATGAAGATTTGATATCCATTCATAAAAATTCAAAGTAAAATTGCTTCAAATATTGAAACTAAATGATATTTGCTATTTTAAAATCAAACTTGGTAGTCGCGACATTGAAATTCCTTCATGTCTGGAGCTGTGACAAAAAGAAATATCGCGAAGATTTACCTTGCTTTGAATATGAAAAAATAGAGGAGAAAGAACAGATTGGACATGGAGCTTATGGAGTCATCTACAAAGGGAGGTACGATGATGAGGTTCTTGTGGCAAAAAAACTTCATGGAGGATCGGCCGACGAAGAAGAGTGTTTTATAAAGGAAGCAAGGTTGATGTTTTCATTCGAGCATGAAAATGTTGTAAGCTTGAAAGCTTTTTCATCATCTCCATGTGCGATAATGATGGAGTATTTGGGATTCAATTTCTCACTTTGAGATCTCGAAAGAACTGAGTAGTTTAGTCAACTTCCTCAACTATGTAGATAAAATAGACGCTTTTGGTTATTTTGAAAATAGCTGGATTCCAAAAATGGGATGCGAAATTTCCAAAGGCTTGGAATTCTTGCATTCAAAAGGCATCACACATCGTGACCTGAAAGCCAAGAATATTCTTGTCAGTAATCAGCATTATTGCGACTTGTTAGATGAAAAAGCCATATCTGAAACATTTGCTGAAAGACCTGTCGTTTGTAAACTTGCTGACTTTGGCAAAAACAGCAGCTGCACTCCATTCTAGGACCAAAAACAGGCATCGATAAAATGTGCGAGTGTCCGAGCACCACTCGCAGGCACTTTTTACATTTTTGCAGGCACATTTTAAAATACTGACATTTTAACAATTTTTAGGTCACAAAATCTAAACAAGATGTGTTTTTGCAGGCACATTTTGAATTTCGCTCGCAATATCGAGGCCTGACCAAAAATGTTGACAGGTATTTGCCAACCTCATTCCCAGGGTCTTTCTTAGAACGGCGCGAGGCGAAGGAAAGACCCTGGTTTCGGCTGGTCACGTGTCACCCAGATTCTGGGTGATAAATTAAAATGATACTATGGGCAGGGTGGGAGAGGAGCGTGTTTGTCGCGTTTGTAACAATATTTGCAATTTTGTGTGATGAAATTTAAATTTGCAACCAGAAAATCGTGAAAAGAACTGCAATTAAAAATTAATATTTATCGTGATGTGTCTTTCTGCTCTATAATCTAGTGTCGAGTTACAATTCAAGCAAGTTGGATCAGATTTCAACTTGTAGACTTGCCAAAGAAAGCGCCCAGGCGGCGTGGCAATAAGGCCTACTCTACAAGAAAATTCATATGTCCAATCCGAAAATCTCTAAAATCCAAACCGACCAATGTGGTTTATATTTATTTCACTGTTAGTATTAAAGTATAACCTGATACTCGGACGAAAGAATATATTTATTGATGAGATGTGGAATTAGAACGAAATAGCGAGATCTTCTGATTTCCGAAATATCGCCAAGACGCCAACTGTATTGAGATTGTTGATTATAAAGGCCTTATCACAAAACTTAAATCCCGTCAAAAGACTATAAAATTTCCTGCAAGATCTCAATGATCATGGTATATGTCAAAGTCTAGCTGTCTGTTGAAAATCTACGGTATTACAGTTAAGTCATACATCAAAGATAAGTCAAACGACAATATATTTGTCTTACTGTTTATACTACTGTGTTTATACCACATTTATAAATTTTATAAACAGCTTTCGTTTTGACACAAGCTTTAATTTTCTGCTTTATATATATTCTTAATAACACAAGTGAGATTTAAATTTTTTGCTTTGTGAAATTATAGAATTATACCATTATTTTTTAATGAACAGCTTGTATTGTCTCTATCATATCCAGGATTGCTTGTGTGTAAATTGCCTACATGTATCACTATATATGCCACTATCAAATAAATATAGAAATATAAATTAACATAAACAGATGATTGAGACACAATGAAAACTGTTAGTAGCCTTAGTAGAAGTAGAAAACTCGAAAATTTATGTGTATTCGTATGGCAGTCTGTGCGCGTCTGACACTGTAAATTTGTGATGTAGATTATAGCCTAGTTGTGTGCATATTAGGAAAACATTATCTGACCAAGAAAAAGGCTAAAGCCTTACTATAATTAATGAATACAAATTATGTACTAAATCCAAAATTTTAAAGATAAATCACTGACAGACATTTCTCTGTTTGGCTAGTATCAAATGTTCACATTTGCTGATATTGGGCTCTACTCTATAGTCCTAGACAAGACAATACAATACTGTTTCTTTTAAAAATCTTATAAGCAAGACGTGCAAAGCATAGCAACGTTTACAAAAAAGGACAAATCTAATGCTTGTTTTAAAAACATTAGATATGTAGAAATGGTGACCACTGAAAAGCCCATAAACGTTTGTTATAAAACGGCGCTCGAGTGTGAAGAGAGCATTGAATAATAATAACACAAGAGAGCACTGCGAGTAACGATTTGCTTGGTTTCTTTACTTGACTGTTGGTAAAAATGTAAGAATGTTCTTGAAAATTCAAAGCAAATAAAATAAACAAAAATTAGCAAGTATTTTGAACTTACTGGTAATAGTTTGCAAAATTTATGTTTTTAACTTTTTGTAATTTGATACTTTCACCACACCCCCCTCGGACAATCAATTTTAGACGAGGCACATGACCAGCTGATACCAGGGTCTTTCCTAAAGACCCTGGGAACGAGGTTCGGTATTTGCAAGGTGGGTTCAGTTGTACCGAGCCTGTTTAGCTTAAACAGTGGTTAAGCAGAATATTTTCAATAACGCTTTCACACACTCACTCTGTGAATGACTAAGCTTAAGCTAAACGCCTTTGATACGATGGCCCTTGTGTCGGTATTTTCATGCATGGAGGGTATCACATGCAGGCTGCATGCATTTATCGAGATTTGGCAAAGAATTATTTTTTTGTATAAATCAAAATTAAATCAAAGTCATTTGGTGAACTGACTGAAACCTAACTGCAAATCATCACATTTGCGATACAGTATTTTGATACCTTAATGCCCTATTTCATACAGTAGCTATAGCATTTGGTTGAAATAACCAAGTACTGAAATTATATGCCTTTACTTACTGTATTGTCAATATGTGGCTATATATAGAGAAATAATATTGTTCCGGCTAGGGAATTTGTTCCCGAATAATATATGTATGATATGAAACATAAGTATAGATACCATTAATTGATTTCATAATTTTATTAGAGGAACTCCTGTATATATGGCACCAGAAATCCTAATTAAATCGTGCCGCAAGGCTGCCAACTTCAACAGTCTTCAGAAAGTAGATATATGGGCATTCAGTATGGTCATGTTTAATTTGGTTAATCCAAACTTAAAGTACCCATTGCAGTTAGATATTTTGAAGGATAGTTCTATGCTAGAGCAACTCCAGGAAATTTTACAGCAGACAGCTGCATACCCAAGCAATTCACCCAAATACACCCAGCAGCAGCAGCAGAAGATAATTTGGGCACCAGTCATGGCACTGAAGAAATGCACCAAAGAAGGCATGACTCCAGCAGCGCCAGCGACAGTATCGAAGAGCTGTCATATTATAATGGCGATCTTCTGATGCCGATATACTCATTGAATTGCAGTGTGCTGACTCCAATTGAAGTCATATGTGTTCTGTACAGTGTTAAGACTATTGTTAGCTCTTCTCGCATCTGTCAGCATCAGCCAATAGGAGTGGATCGTCATTGTACATTTATAGTAGACTTGCATTTTCTCAAATCATGCGAAGACATTAAATGTGATGATGTTGGTAGCTAGCAGAATAACAGCTATAATAAGTTTCCATTCGTAGAGCTTGATGGGCAATTTAACCTTGTGGAAAAGAAGCTTTCCCAAAGTCAGAGATCACACACAAATGATGTTAATACCCTGAAGCGCAGTTATTACAATTTACGTGATGATGGTGGAGATTTTAGAAGAATTGACACAATTCTCTGTAAGTATAAAAACTCTGATATCGGTATACGTTTGCATTGACATTTATTTTGTTCATTACATTTGCATTTTTATATTAATTTTTTTGTATTAAAAAGTCATATTTATAGTGCCCAACGGTGCGCAATTCATATATGTGTTAGCGCAGTATTCTTTTAAAAATGGTATAGAGCGACCGATACATCCAAAACAACACAGGAATTAGAAAAAAAAAGCCTCAAAGCCATATATCAGAACGTGGGAAAGTGTGCCAGAGAGTCTTCAACCTTGCGATGGTTGTACACAAAGTTATCATGGAAGACCTTGGAGGAATCGAGACCTGACCTGACTGTCATCTGGTAACAAACACAATGATCCTTGGTATCGCCATCTTGGGGATTGCAAGAAACAAGCTGTAAACAGGAAAACTTTCATCCGAGATGTAAGGATTGCACCCGAACCTTTATGCATCATGTCAACAGATAGACAACTTAATGATTTGAAACGATTTTGTTGCGACCCGGTTGAATTCCGCCCTTTCACCGTAGATCCGACCTTTGACATAGAAAAATACAACGTCACCCCAATTACATATCAGCATCTGCTGTTAGAGAATAAGCGTGACGGTAAACACCCTTCATTGATTGGTCCTGTGCTACTTCATAAGAAGAAGACAACAGAAACCTATTCAATCTTCAGTGGGACATTGAAGACTCTCCAGCCCGGTCTACGCAATGAGATGGCGTTTGGTACAGATGATGAACGCTGGGAAGATCAGAGAAAAAATGCGGGAAGATCAGAGAAAAAATGCACTCGTGAAAGTGCACAGTGTCACATTAGATCGGTCGTCCGCTTCAACTGTCGAAGATATCACCAACATCCTCGGTGCCTCCGCCAAGCCTATTGTCAATGAAATAATAAATGCTGGTGTTGATTGGATTCCATGGGAGCTGTTATCAACAATGGTGAGCAAAGTCATAGCTCTTGCAAAAGATGGTGGGAAATTGATTGAGCAAGGAAATGGTACATACGTTGTTCCTTCCCATTGCAACGCTCGAAAGCCTTATATCGTAAATGTCTATCCAAACGGAATGACTGCATGTGATGATAGTTGCCCTGGCTATTCCTCATGGAAGATTATTTGTAAGCACACTCTTGCCATCAGCATAAAATTTAAAAGAATGGAAAAGCATCTTCGCTGGAGGTATTGACTTTTCCACTGGAGGTATTGACTTTTCCGAAGCCATCACATATGGAATGCCACAAGGATGTTCAAAAAAAGGAAATCAGCCACCAAGAAAAAGAAGCAAAACAGTCGGTGGGACAGTGACAACAATTACACCTAGTGTGTTGGAAGTTATTTCAGTCTGCAGGACCAAATCAGTCGAGCAACTCATTTCAACACCTGCAAACGTCTGCACCATCTACAACATCGTGCCGATCACAGTATACCATGCCCTTTGTGCAAGTGCAGCCAAATATATTGCCATCATTTTTATCGTGTGCAGGTGCAAATCAGTCGAGCGATTTACTTCAACACCCGCAAACGTTGGCACCATCTACAACATCAGTATACCATGCCCTTTATGCAAATGCAGCCGAATATTTTGTCATTTTTATTGCGTGCAGGGTCAAATCAGTCGAGCGACTTACTTCAACATAACCCACAGCACCATCTACAATACCCAACATGACACCACGGTATACATCAGTCGCTCTATCTGCTGTCACACAACGCATACCGCTTCCATCCCCCACCCCTGGACAATATATAACATATTTGTTACAATTTTGTCATTCCCAAACCTCTAAATGCGTTGGATGTGGTAACCCGCACAAGGAACTTGATGGTGCCCTCCCAGCGCCACCTAATGATTTTGGCGGCCATATTTGAACTTATAGAGCTGGAGTAAACTTTAAACCTTAGAAATCACAAGTTATTCGGGGAGGAACACAAATTATTTAGCATTTGGAGTGGAGTAAAGCCATAGATGTATGTATTCTGTTGTATTTGTTCATCAGTTGGCCATTTATTTGTTTACATATTTGTAATTTGTGTACGATATTTGTTTCCGTGTATTTGTATAGTTTTCACTGTGGTTGTACGAATAAAAAGCTTTTTTTTATTTTGTGTTCCTTGGTTGACACTTTGTTCCCTCCCTGGGACACAACAGGTCATATATTGAGTTAATGACTGATATAACTCTACGACGGGTAAAGGGGTTTTCTGGTAAGGAAATAGAGAATGTTAACATGTCGTTTTGTAAATTCCACATAACACCCAAGGAACGTTGAGACAGTAGTGAGTCTTGTTGAAGGTCAATTTGATCTTCTGGTGGAAGTGCTTGCATTACCTCTACCGTGTTTGATGCAATCTTGTGTAACCTAAGATTTGCCATTGCCAACATTGTTTGGGTATTCTTGACGAGACATATAGCTTTGGCAGGGTTAGAACAAGATGAGAGGCCATCGTCGCCATAGAAGTTGTTGCGTACAAAGTTGTTTGCAGCGTGACCAAACTCCTCGCCATCATCGGCCGTCAGCAATCAGACATGCAATGATGAAGTGTGTAGATATTTGCTGGCTATAGGTCAATTTACCATTGGTTGCCATGATGGCCCCCAAACATTAGTTTACCACTGTAGCTGGGTTGTGTTCAACTGTTGTATACGGCAGGTAAGGATGAACAGGGTTGTGTTGTGGATGATGGGTGTACTAGAGGGTATGTCTGTCTCAAAGTCTCTAAAAGGCTGGCGGTCGGCTATTTAGTTTTCTGCGATTACACTAGCTGGCAGCCAATAGTGTAACACCTTGTGAAGAGGTGCAGAGCGCTGTTCCGGCATTAACCCGAGGCAAGGGTACTAATTCCACCCGGCTATTTACACCCAGGGAAAGGGAAGCATTAGCGAAGTCTGAAGTTCATCAATGATCGCTGGCGTGGGTCACCAACCGTGGTCTGTGGGTGGTCATTCTCACTGATCACAAAAATATGGCTGGACCTAAGGACCTAAGCAAACAGAGCTATATGCTAATGTTCAACTCGCGAAACTTGCATACCAACTGCGCTGGAAAGAAATATTTAGGAACAGTTCAGAATCAGACAATAGTCTGGCTAGAGCAACCTATAGTGAACCACAAACTGTTTTCAAAGCTACTGAACATTCATCTTTTGAGAAACCTTGCCGAGCTCCAGAAGTTAAGTTTGAACAACTAGAATCATCATTAAACTTTGGAAACACGAAGCAAATAAAGTGGTTAACAAACATAAATTTAAACCTAACCCTCCTAACCTCTCTCTACAACAAAGTTGAGCGTTATCGAAATTAATCAAGATGAAGAAAAATCGTCAAGTGAGAATCTCGGTAAGCAACAAGGGTGAGGAGTTCATGGTTATGAATAGAGATCTAGATAATCAGTTGATGGAGAAACACCTCGGAAACAAATCACTCTACGAGCCTACAACAGACCTCGCCCAGAATACGGAAGACAAAATAAACGAAGTGTGGGAGTACGTAGCAAAGAAAAACTATTTGCAAGAAAGAATCATCGCAAGACTGAAAACCAGCCACAGTCAGTGTCCAGTAATCTATCTACTAACCAAGACACACAATTTTCCTCACAATGTACCAACTTCCGATCTTGACGTTATAATTGTTTGACCGATCATCTCTGGTTGCGGTGGTCCTGCTGATAAAGTATCATGGCTCATACAAGTCATATGTAACCCACTACTCCAGTTTGTGAAAGCACATCTGCAAAGCACATCTGCAGGCTGTTGAGGAATCTACAAAGTGTAAAGAACGAAGAACAAAAATCCTATTTAGCCTGGACGTGGTTTCTTTGTACCCAAGTGTGAAGAACAATGCAGCCATTGAAAAGAAAAAGAAAAGAAAAATCTCCTGCTGTGTTACTTCCCTGTTCCAGACTTGCTTCTTCACGCTTGGCATAAAGTGTAGCAAATTTGGCCAACTCGAGTGTCGCGTTTTTGCTCGATGGCGCGTGTATTTTTGGAAGTCTGGTCACTAAATTAATTTTCGAAATGTGCGCCACTTTAAAAGCGTTGCAGGGAATTTGTAGGCCACTTGTGAGCAATTCTATTTACATGTGAACAATAGGGGACTTCGGGGATTCTATTGATACCAAAGTTGCCATGGTTACTCTTAATTTTTTGTCTCCTTTGATCATTCTTTGAGAGTGATTTCGCACTTTTTCGCACATCGATGTCTTGCAGAAAAAATACAAGATTTTTCGCTTGTGATAACTTTTTTATTTTAAGACATCAGTATCTAACTTCTATGTATTTGAAACATATGGCAAAGGTTTATGTCTTTGATTTCATTATATAACGCGGCTAAAATGGCTTGGAATAATGCCACCCAACACAAGCGCTTTAATGTTGGCGCGTATATGAGATAGAAACGCTTGGCTTCGTTAGCCACGGTCACAAAGAGCAAAGAACTGTTGGCCAAGAAAAAGAAGTTGGAACAACTTGATCAGACGGTACATAAAAACTTTTTTTGTATTATTTTCATCAAAATATGCGAATATGTAAATATTTAAAGACTAAAAATTTGAACGTGAATTCAAAATATTCTTTACAAATTACAGCTCATGCGGAAGTGCTCCAATGTTAAGCCATAATAGCCGCTGCAATTAAACTTTTCTCATCAAGGATTTTAGATGCCAAATATCGCTTATAACTCTTATTGTTAAATTATGAAGCTATTATGTACAGGTAGTTGATATTATACTAATATACTATACAAATATATAGTTTATTAGTAATAATACTAATATATACTGATATATATATATATATATATAGTTTTATAATAGTGTACTAATGGTTTAATAGTATACATGATTATTCACAGCATCTGTTGCTTTTTGATATGCTATTATAGTTATTT